CTGCCAAGCAGGGGCGGATCCAGCGTCTGCGTTTGGGGAGGGCCATTTATGAAAGAAGAGGAGGCCTGCGAAAATTTCACAGACACGCCCTTCAAAGTCTCACCGAACGCGGGAAACGCCCCTTTCTATCAAAAAATTTCATAAGAAGGTACACTCTCAGAACACTGAAAATTAAGAAACTTCATTGCTGCGAGAAACTTCCAAGCGAAGTAAAGGCTAAAATACATGATGAAAAATTGATGAACTTTGGCTAATCGTGTAAACACGCGCTTCTTTAGTTAAACTGATGAAAAACGGATATAGAAATAACTTTGGGGAAAACTGACATAAAAAACTGATCGTGTATTTCAGCCTTTACAAATATTCATATTGAATATTTGGTCAGCAGCTTTCGCGCTTGACTTGGGAGGGGAACTATGACGCATCAGAGTTCGTGAATGACATTATAATTCCTGTGTTCAAGAAGCCGGCATAAGACACGTACCCTTAAGATGAAAAAAAGATTTAGAAAATGAGCAAAAGTCCCCACGTATTTGGTGCGTTTAATTTGAATGGTAAATTTTCAAAATGGGTAGTCACCAAAAATTCATCGCAGCATAACAGGCAAAGCTGAGTAGTTATAGGTACTGTTTTGCTTTTGTTGGAAATAGTGACGCTTTTTGGGTATCACAATCGCAATAACACGATGAACAATGTTTGAACTGTAACCCATTTTAGCCATAACTTTCTCAACCATTAACGTTTGCAGACGTCATTCATTCATGATCGCAGTCATGATTTGTGTTAAACCATAGTCCATATGAGCCGCGAGATCCGGTCACATCTAATTTTGCATTGAACTATTGTTTTAGGCTTATCATAATTCTTGTGTTACGCATCCACTTGCAACTTATTGCCTCACTGAAAGCGAGAGAATAAAGCCGACTGGAGGTTTGATTAAAATGTCTGGTCCGCCAAAGAAATCAAGAACTCTTGAATCATTCTTCTCAAAAAGTAGCCGCACCAGTTCAGTTGGAGATAACCCTGAAATCTCTAAAACATGTGAAACTACCACTTGCCAAGAATTTGAATCAAAATCTACTGGTGAAGAATTCGACACACAAAGCCAAGTTGCGGTAGTCCAGGATTGTCCTGAAGAGGAAACACACCCAGACCTCTGTTGTATGGCGACACAAGTAAATGTTGCAATATCTGATAGATATGACATTGGTAGAGCTATAATGAAAACAAAATGAGGAGAACAGCTGACAGATAACGAAAGGGAAGCATATTTATCGAAGAGGTGGGTGCCGCAGAGAAGGGATGAATATCCATTTTCTGAAAAGAAAAAACCAAAGAATCAGCTCATGGTTGGTATGTCCTCGACAACGAAGCGTTTTCTGGGTGAAAATCACTTGAAAACCTTCCCCTGGCTAGCTGTCAGCAGAGAGCCAAAATGTTGCGGTGCTTGGTGTGTTTATTGCGTTTTATTCAAGACGTGCGAGAGTGGAGGTGGAAGAGGTGCACAATACGGAGGTGGAGCAGGCCAGTCAATGGGCAAACTTGTTAACAAGCCTCTTGTAAACTTTTCAGACTTGACAGGGAAAAATGGAGCCCTCACAAGTCACCAAGAAACATCTTTTCATAAGACATGTGCCATAAAGTACACGGAGTTCTTGAGCCGTGCAACACCTGGGATTGAGAAGGACGTTCGATCAATAATGAACATTGAAAGGCAGAAAGAGATTGAAAGAAACAGGACTGCGCTGGTTCCCATCATCGACACCCTTCTAACATGCGCCAGGCAAAATATTGCGCTTAGAGGCCATCGTGATGATGGACCAGTAGATTCAACTGGGATGGAACCCAAGCACAATGATGGAAACTTCAGGGTATTGCTGCGATTGAGAGTACGGGGAGGAGATACAAACTTGAAAGATCACTTGAAATCTTGCAAACGCAATGCTTCTTTGGTAAGCAAAACGATACAAAACGAGCTAATTGCCTGTGCAGGAAATATTGTCAAAGAGGACATAGTAAGAGATGTAAAAAATGCAAAATTCTGGACAATAATGGCCGACGAAACCCAAGATTGTGCGAAACGAGAACAGTTGGTCATTGCAATTCGTTACGTTGACACAAAAAATGTGCCAAAAATTATCAAAGAAGAACCGGTCGCAATTTTAGACCTGATTGCAGACATAAAAGCAGTGACCAATCAGATGAAACAGAGCACAATGAAATTAAGCTATGTGGCAAGGCAATAGGGGAGACTCTACTCCGCCATATAAGTGAGCTTGGGTTGGATTTGCAGTACCTCGTTGGTCAAGGATATGATGGTGCTGCATCGATGTCCAGTGAGCGAGTTGGTGTTTGTTCCTTTATCAAATCTGCTGCGCCACTCGCTGACTACTTCCACTGCTGCATGCACGCGCTAAATCTAAGTTGTTCTCGAGCCGCAAAGATACCAGCAATCAGACATTGCATGGATGACATCAAAGATATCAACAATTTCTTCAAGCATGCGAAAAGAAACAGCTATTTGCAAGCAGTCATAGCACGAGAATCAATTGAAGAGCTTCAGCGACGGCAGTTGGTGACCCTCTGTGAAACAAGATTTGTCGAAAGACATGAATCAGTTTTGGTTGCACGACAGCTTTTGCCTTACATCGTTGTGTGCTTGGAATAAATGCTCGCTTGGGACTCATTAGATACAAGAAAAGATGCCAGGAGATTGTTAAAAAGTTTGCAAGACCCTCAGTTCCTTGTAGCGCTAGTATTGGCCGAGAAAGTGTCTGCTGTACTTCGCCCAGTGTCCCGTTCTTTGCAACAAATTGGTAGCGATCTTGTGAAAGCAATGTCGACGATTTCTGCGACACAGTCAAAGCTTTACACGTGGCGTAAAGGTGAAGAAAATGAGTTTGCTTCGATGTTTGAAGAGGCAATGCTTCTTGGCGAAAATATTGGAGTGACCAGAGAAGAGATGGACGCAATTCCTCGAGCAGTCAGTCAATCCAGGTTCAGATCAAATGCAGGTGAAGCCAATCAAAAAGCCATTGATTATTATCGTATCAATGTGTTTTTACCTCTTCTTGATGAAGTGGCTGGAGATATGAAAGCAAGATTTGGTCCCCATCAGCAGAAGATTGCGACGCTTACAAGAATTCTGCCTTGTTTCGTCAAAGAATCAACTTGGCAAGATATTTTGCCTGCAGCACTAAAATACGGAGTCTTTTTAGACCCCTTGTCCATTGTTGAAGGAGAGTATGAAATTTGGAAGCAGCAATGGCTGTCACGTGGAACAAGTACAGTAGCAAATACCGCTATCGGCGCTTTAGGCGACTGCCAAGGTGATGTATTTCCTAATTTGCATACATTACTCAACATTCTCACTGTGCTACCGGTGACAACAGCAGAACCCGAACGACTATTTTCTAAACTGAATAGTACCCTTACAGCAATTCGGTCAACAATGTCTGAGGAGAGATTAGAATCCCTACTTCTTCTGCAAGTTCACCGTGACAGAACACCAACGAGCGATAAACTCATTGACTCATTCGCAGCATTAAAATCAAGACGAATCCCATTAAAGCTGTAAGTAGTTAAAAGATGGACAAAATGACGTTGCTATTATATCGCAATACTCAACATTGAAACACACCACTTCTCGCGCAAAATGAGCTCGCATGTAGCTTTTCGTTTCAAAGGCAAAATCTCCGATAACGTTTTTGCTACGATATTGCCCAGTTGCCCCCTATTTGCTATTTTGTGACCAGAAAGTACTTATTTCCACATTGTATGGGCGTGTATGTTGAATAAAAGTTGTTCAGCATCAAACTGTCTTTGAGAATATGTACATATAATGTGGCTTTAGCGACATCAAAATTTGATCCCCTGCTGATCAGTGCGCCATATGGGGTTTGCCCAAATAAGGAATTCCCAATGTCCAATTGGTGGGGCTTATTTATGGTTATTCCCAGTATCGTATGGAACCTATTTGCCAAATTACAGCTTTTTATTATTTTTGTCCGGGTAAAATCGTAATTCCACCACACTAGGATACGCTAGTAGAAAAGAAAGAACAAATGTTCAATTTCGTCCGATTACACATCCCCTTCCGGAAAAAGAAACCTTGGAGACCCGGTGCATTGTTGTTGCTGTTGTACACGTATGGGATAGTAGGAACAAATTGAAGAAGTCTTCCTATTTGGCCTGCCTGGATGAGGAACTTATAGTTGGTGCAGGCAGTTCATTTTGAAAAATGTATTTTATTCTCAATTCAATATTAGTGTCAATAGTCTTGGTGAAATGTAATGGAGAAGTGTCGTTGTCTGACGACCCATCGCTCTATCCTGGTCATTTGGAACCCTTGGGTTCAAAGCGGCCTCAAGGAAAAGTCACAATGCTTGAAGAATTTCCTGATCCCCAAGGTATGTAAGACTCTAAGTGAAGACTTTTAAAGTTAAGCCAATAAAGATAGAGGTTCTGGGTATTTCTTGGGTACAAGAATGGACTTTTATTATTTATATTTCGTTAGGTTACAAGACTGTATGGAATGCAACGTAATCATATTTTGTTTCGTAAAATAACCTGAAAGGCACAGTCAAAAAAATACATTAAATTACGACGAAGAAATTTTTTTTTATTCATTTCGTTGTGTTTCTGGCTAGATGATAATAAAGACTATGCATATATACTTAAAACACTTTTATTTGAGATTTTCCTTGAATGAATGACAATGTCAAATTTTACAATCTCACAACTTTCTCATCAGTAACAATTTTTTTAGAAATTTCTAGGAAATAGATGTCATGATTTTTTTTATGAAAATTTATCTTTACTTTAATATTTTCTTTAACCAAGCTGTATTATAATGAATTTTAATAACATTCTGAAAAATAACCGGTAAAGAAATATTATGTATTTAGAGATTTCATGCACTTAAACGACATAAAAACAGTTTCAAAAATATCCCAAGACAGTGATTATTTAGTGCAAGAATGGTGAACAGCTGGAACAGCCTTCCAAAATACACTGCAGAGGCTGCATCATCAAATATATATTCAAGAACAAGGTTGATATCATCTTAGACATTTGACATACTCAACCCGACATTGATTCATTTTATTAAAAATGAGATATCTTTTTTCTTTCTTTTTTCACTTGTTTAAAGGTTTTAAGCCTAGATACAGAATTATTTATTATTATACTATTATTATTATTATTATGTAGATATATATATTTATATGTATATAGAAAGTTGATTTCCTCTATTCGATCAACTTGTTAAAAAGGTAAATATCTTAGCAGCCCTTGTACCAAGAAGGTCCTGCCCCACATTTGATTTGCTTTATCTTTTGTTTTCCATAATCACCAAGGTCCTTGGCTCCATTTTTCCAAATGATGCGCTTAGAGCTGAAAAGCTGTTGCATGTTTGTCAGGTCACCACAGTTGATCAGCTGAGGTCCATTGAATTCATTAACACCAGTAAATGTTGTTGGGTTTCCTTTGAAGTGATATGTAAATTTCAATTACAGCAAAGGCAGTTTTTAGTATGTTTTAAATTAATGTGCCAATTTATAGCATTAACTAGCAATTTCTAGAAATAACAAATTTAGGGTGATAGAATTTAACACATTTTGTTTGTGTAGTTTCTAGTTGCATAAGGTTTGAACTGCAAAGGAATTGAGAAAATGCCAAAAGAAGGCCTTTTGAGTTCATTCAGGTGATCCCCTTAGCCCTCACCAACACACTGGCCAAATTTTTGGTGCAGGCTACTGACTGCCATGGTAAAAACATCTTTTGCCTGCTTGAGACAGGAAGATCATTTGCAAAAATGTTGTTGCTATATAAATTGTGGTATTTTCAAATTGATAACAAAAGCAGCGCATTATTGCTTCATTATTCATACTACATCAAATAGTTGGTAATTTGTAAATGTTTAAAAATTGGTAATTATCACACATTTAGAAAGTCACAGGCTTGGAAATTTTGGGCAGTTGATACCCTAATAACCCCTCTCAGGCCCTTGAAGACCACTTCTTTAACAATTGTTGTTGGACAGGCAGTTACCCTCATAAGCTCATCCATGGGGGCAGTTTGTCACACTTTTGAAAATTTCTTCACCAAAAAGCCAGTCAAAAGAATCTCCGTTAAGACAAGACATCAACTATTTTTTGCTAGAAATGTGGTCTCATAGCGCAAAGGTAAGAAGGCTGTAGCAAAGAGCAGTAAATCCAAATTGTCATCTGGACTTATCCATATTGTTTTATTTTAAGTTAATATATAATAAAATATTTGACAAAGAGCTTTTTGTAAAATCAGAAAAATTATTGCAAAAAAGTAATTGAGATAAAAGCATATAACTTCCCTCTTGTTTTACCAGCCACCTAAAAATTTCTATTTTAGATATAAAAAGGGATGTTGGATTTTATAGCTTGGGATATTGATTTGTAAAATTGAATTATCTTAAACAAGTAAAAATCTACAAGAACTTCATTTTAGGATATATTTTAGGTTGTTTATGTTTTCATTTTAGGATAAATTTATTTTTTGATATAAGTACATACCAAGAAATGATTTGCTTTTGCAGACTTCAGTTCCACCAATCATTGCAAATGGATAACTACAAGATGAGTTTAGATCTGCAACTCTGATGTTTTCTGGTGGCCTGTAATAGTCATCTGCTGTTTTTGGGTTGTCTGGATATTTTCTTCCAATTACTAATGCAGAATTCACTAACACATTTGATTTGATTTGAATATTTTTTGCTCGGACATGACATGCATTGCAATCTGTAGGACCATTGCCACCAGTCACTTGTATACCAGCTTTTCTTCCAGCTTCCATCACCCAGTTGTTGACAATTTGATGGTCAGAGTCATGTGCTGTGATGCCATGGTTGTCACGGTCACCAGTTTGCCTCATTTGTATGTAGTTTCTTGTTACAATGTTTCTTTTTCCATGGCGGAGTGAAATCCCACCAAAACATTCTTCTATTGCATTTTCATATACCTGAATAAAGCACATAATTGGGCTCCAATTAAGACTATTTTCAAAGCCAAAGTTCATTTACTGGTTCCTTAGATTCTCAGCACTAGAAGTTATACACTGTGACAGCTTCAAAAATATGTCAAGAGATTAAGATTTTGGTGATGTTTTTTATTGGTCAATAAATAATTTTTGATTAGCAACTTTATTCAGTATATTGGGTTCCTTTATTTGTTTTAATTTAAAAAAGTCTGCCAAAATGAGAAAAATTAACCTTTTTAGTACATCTGCTCTTTTGACAAAAGTACATTCAGTAATATTTCTTTGTGTCTTGTGTCACAGTCCTGAGATTCTTGGGTGTGGGGGCCTATTTCCCAAGTTGTAACCAATAATCTTTTATTTTTGTTAGAAAATGCAGCAAAAAGCAAAATCTGTCTCATACTTAAAAGATTTATCATGTTATAAATTTATTTTCTATTAGGCAAAACTCATATTTACATTTAATCTTGTTTGCGGAAACACAATCTAATTCATTCTTTTTTCTACAAACATTATTTTCACAATATTCACTACGTTTTCCAAGATTGATAACAGAAACCAACCTCATTTCCAGAAGACTTTATCCCTATGGTCTCTTGCTCAGCATCGATCTTGTGAAAGTAGTTGTGATGAACTGATGTTGCAAAGTCTTTGGTTTCTCTACCTTGGTTTCTTGAAACCTTGACATAAATCCCCTCAGCCCCGTCATGTTTATGTTTCATTACTTTTGCATCAGGGTCATAATTCTCCAATCTGAAATTCAGTTTCAGTTTTCATTGACAAATATATCTAAGTACAACTCAGAATACGTAAAACATCACTTAACCAACAATTAAACAAATAATTGATATAGAAGATACATAATACAATGTTACACTGAATTATCGAAAAAGGTAGGTATTACAATACAGGATATTTACTCAGAATAACAAGGGGGATCTTTCTCTCCAATTGGAGCTCTTAGTTAAATGAAAACAAATTCATATAAAAGAAAGGAAAAAGCAATAAACGAACTAGAACGAATTTTGAACATTTTTATGAACTTCTTACACATACATCTCTGTACAACGTTCTACTGTTCTGTGGAGGCGAGTTAATTAAACATAATGTATTCAGGAATTTTGTCTAAAAATCTACTACTGTCTAAAGTCTAAAGTGTACATTTTTCTAGCATTTACAAACCTGTTATGGTGAATAGAAATGCCATGCATTTCCTTGTCCCCAACATATATGATTTCTGATGGGATTCCTATTACAGGTGCAGGTTTGTCTTTAAACAGACAATGGTGAATTTGTGTCCGATCCCCTCTTACTCGTGCCCATCTGTTTGCACAGTGGTTCTGTACAACGCAGTCAAAAACCTCGGAATCTTTCGCGCGTCTGTCAAATACAATTGGTGGTGGAAAATCACGTCTGTTGCCTTCCACATTTAAGGGTGCTGTAAACGTCAAATTCGCAACCTTAACTTGAGAACCATAGATTTTGATTTGTGATCTCCCTTTCATGACTACCTTCCCTCCTTCTTCACCCATGATTGTAATTCCATCCTTTTTTACTATCATTATCCAATCGTTGTGCTCTCCATTTGCGATGCAGATTACTTCCCCAAACTTTGCAGCAGACAATTTCGATTTAAATTGTGAGAATGTGCTGACACACGCTTGGAGAATAACCGGCAGGACTCCCAGGAATATTAAGGTGATGGATGTACGCTTTGAGAACTTCATCTTCGCTCAGAGGCAACTGTCTGCATCTAGGCACCGTAGATACTTCGCAGATATTTTTAAGTACTCTTTACTGTGCCTGAAATTCAAATAATGCGATCTTTGTATACAATATCATTGTCAGTACAGATGGTCTAATATTGTTTTCCTAGGATTGGACATTGTCTTGTAGATGTTTTTCTTCCTAAAATTAGAAGTTTCGTTGGTTACCTGAAATGTTCTGTGTATGTTTTTCTATTTCCATGGAGATTTCTTACCCTTATGAGAATTTTTGTATATAAATTCCCATAACAGTATTTAATGCTTTGAAAAAGTTCTATTTCCAATATTTTTCTAACGATAGTTTGCATCCGGTCTCTAGGCTACATAGACGTGGTTTGAAAATTTTCAAAACATTGTTTCCTCGTAGAGATCTTAGAGCCTTTAGGGTCCCTAGCATTTCTGTGATACATTGTGATTTATACCTTATACTGTATCTGAAGACTTGGGTCTAGTGTTCCTGGGTAGTATACGTTAGTATAGGACAGTATAATGTGGTATATGTCAGTTTATGGTGGTTTATGATGGTATGTCCTATCATACAGTTGTATACGTATTATACTCGCCGTTAGAAAATCGCACATACCCAAGATTTCCTTAACGTAGATGCACAAAGTATACATTTTACATCATTATTATATGAAAATTTGGTCTGCAATGTTATACCCTGGGTACCAGATCCCCTGTGAAAGAGATGCTCGAGCAGTGGCTTTCACTTACCGACACTTACCGACTAACTCTTTCACCAACCCAGTCTTTCACCGACCCACTCTTTCACTCAGGCTCTGGCACTCAGGGTAACAATGTTAAAGTATTTCAACACAGTTTATTGATTTTAAGATTGGAAAATTACAGTTGTCGATAAACCTATTATAGTGCAGTAGGCAATTTCTTTCTAGTCCAATCTTCATCAATAAGGTATTTACTAAGATTTTAACTACCTACTAGTGTTTTTACAAGCAAAGATGAGAATATGCAAAATGTATAAAGGTCACGGTAGCAACACTGCTCAAAAGAATACTTGGGGCGACGTAGATAAAAGGAAGAAAACAAAGATTAGCGCAACCCACTGTGAATAGAATATGTCGAAATCAAAAAAGTATTGATGACTGATATTTCGTTCCGGTATACTGGGCGTCCTCAGAGCTACTGAGTGTCAATCTTGAATTTCAACTCCAACGAAGTCTTTAAGAAAAGCAAGACTCATTTAAATGTATTGATTCAGCTGCTTGAGTTGTATTCCAACCTTTGAAAACTGAAAAAACATCTGTAGGTCTATATAAAATGTCAAGTCACGAATGCGGCGGGTTCTTTCCCACATTTAGCTTTTTTGTTCTCTATTTCTGTTGTTGCTAGCTTGCATCTTTCATGAAACGTATAACAACCAACTATTTCAAAAGGCCAATCGAAATTAAAAAAAGGAAGCAGATTTTTCAACAGAGTCCAATAAGTCGAGATGTATTTTGTGTTTGTAATTTCATGATTTTATAGCGTGTTTCGTTTGATATATTTGTTATGAATCCCTTTATCGTCTTCTAGATTTCTTTACAAATTATGTGGACAAGTCTGTACCGTTGTTGATCAGGGGCGGCGCTATAAGTTCTCCTGCGTTTAAGCTATGGGAAGATGATTATTTGAAGTCCCACAAGGAATCTGAGACAACCCAGGTTTTTGTCGAGAACAGAAAGAAAGAGAATAGAACGAAAGGAGGGTATAACATTCCCTTGAAGAAGTTCATTGAGAGGTACAAAAAGGATGATATTTACATGGTCAACGGAGTGCCTGAACATTTACAGTAAGTCTTTGATTTAAACTAGATTAAGCTAATTGTTCATGCCTTGCATCAGAAAGTAGTGTTTTAAGGCACTGATATGCTCTACCCAGCCTTGCCCTGTGTTTTGTTCGGGGTGATTGAACTTCGTAAGCTAGCGGGTTATTTAGAAACAAATTTTATTGGCTCCATGCTACGCCCCAAACAAAACATATTTGCAGCTAATCTGTGTATAACGATATCAGAGACTCTAAAGTGCCATAGGACTATTGCAAGGATATCTGACAAATTAACTGTCGCAGATTTCGACATAGATATAATGTTGTTATTCAAACTCTGAGCAGGAAAAAGAGATACGCCTCTCTCCCTCTCTTTTATTTTCAACATGCACTGACATCTTACTGATATCAGCATGTATGTTGTCCTTAAAGTTTCTATGACTGCCATTTTTATTTTCTGATACATTCAGCTCGAAGTATGGTCTACATTTAAGTTTTTATTGGTATTGTCTACTCTCGATAGAAGGATTTTACCAATAACAGTTTTGTTTCTGTAATTGTGTTCCCGGAAGCAAAGAAATGCTATAAACTTGGCCTAAATGGGGATATTTTCAAGACCTAAATACTCTTCAGGATAATCTTCTTTCTTCAAATATTGTTTGGGCTCTTGCACAATCAATATGTATCCGGCATGGTCAACAATTTCCAAAGCAACTTCGTTCTTGAGTCCAAATTTGTAAAGTTTCGTCTGTTGTTATAGTTCACCTCTAGATAATCATTCGTTTTCAATTTCATTTATTTTTAACATTTTGCTTCTTTTTTCTTATATATATATTAAAGGCTTCAGGAGCTTTCTGGTTTTTCCTTTTCAATTGCTTCAGCATCTTCCTGGTATCATTCCATTTTTCTCCTAGAAAGGACCTTCGACTGCCCGCTCCCCTTAGATGCGAGAGTACAAGAAAAATGCTTGTCGATACGGTAAGCATAAATCTTACAATCTGTTCTGAATTGCAGTGGCATTTCATGGAAACATTTTAAAATGTATTTTTGTAGATATGTATGTAGGCAGTAATGGGTTTTGATGGAATTTTAAAAAGCCTATATAGTTCCCAAGCCTCCCTTGTTGAGTTGCAGTCTCTTGCATTTGCAAGTTAAACAATATTGAAAAGAACAACAGGCGCAAAGTGAAAAGTAGTAAAGAGCAATTGATCTCCAGAATTTCAGATATCAAGGACTGTTAAGAATAAATCAAGAGGTTTTATTCAGCTTTAGTTGCTTTCATAGTTGAGAAACCTTTAAGCATTCAAGCATATGTCTTGGAACAACAAACTGCAATTTTTTGCAGACAGATTTGTTCGTTTTTTGTAACATATCCTATAAAAAGGCAATTTAAGTATTTCCTACATTTATATTGTTTATACATGATTACTGGTATGGACATACAATTTTATCACAATTCTTCAATTCACGAAATTTTTTTTATTCTAAACTGCATCTTCAAATCAAGATTTTCGACATGTCAATTCCTGTTCTATATTTGAAATCCTCTCATTTTCTAAACTCTAGGTGACTTGGTTCAGTTCTGGTGGGACAAAATCAGTTCTACATAACGACGATGTTGATAATATAAACTGCCTGTTGCGTGGCAAAAAGCAGTTGCTATTCATTGACTACAATAAATACAAATCCAAGGTAGGAAGTGAAAGAATCTGTTTTCAAGTAGACAAAATATCTACTATTCCAAACTCTCAGGTTTCCATTTCAGTTTTGGAAATGCATTTTTCAAATATTTTCTTCGTTCTTGGGAGGGTATTAACCCAACGCATTAACCTTTTGTCTTTAAAAATCACCTTCATTTGCAATGTATTATCCAGGATTAGATGTGAAAATATTGATTACTATCTACAGTGAAACCTCAATAAGTCGACTATCGCTTAACTCCAACTGTGAAACATATATTGAAAATAACTATGTATCTCTTCTTTGCCATGTTTGCTTTTGGCAATTTCTGTTAAGATATAACTTTTAATACTCGTTTACCACCTTTCAGGTTAATATCGACAAACCAGAGGGAGGCTATTCAGACATGGACGTCGATAAGTATGTTTATAGGCTTCCTTTGCCGCCTTTTTAACGGCAGCGAAAATTTGTTCTTTATATACCGATTATGTTTGATAAAAAGGTGGTAAACTTGTTATCTTTTTCTTTTTTTGTAGAAACTTTTAAACAAAGCTTATGACGAAGTAAACTAAACCTATTGTGAATAAGAGTTATGAACAAGTATCATCACTTGTGAACTATCTATTAACTTAGCGGTACTTGCTGATTACAAAACACACGCCTCTTGACTTAGAATAAAAACTGGAGCCCCTCCCATTCATTTTGTTAAGTCTCTTACGAAACCTTTTTTCAGTGATATTGGACACATATTTCCATTTTAGATTAGACTTTGTAAAATATCCTGGCATGAGAGAAGTCGAATACATTAATGCAACAATGGAAGAAGGAGATTGCTTGTTTATCCCATACAAGTGGTACGTCAGTTTGTCCTATGAAAACTCAATCTACAATACACTATTGTACCGCTAGCTTCCTAACAAGGCTCGCTTTGTATAAAATCTCCCAACTAGGCTGCTAGTCCCGTGGCCTTGTGTTTGAATTCAGAGTACAGACCATCAAACATCAAATTCTACATTATGTTTTTTTCGTCGATTTTCGTGCCTTCTAGTCTTGTTCTATTACACACCACAGCTTTTTGTCTAACACTCTTCAGAGTATGAAACGTCAGAATATGGATGTGAATCTGTACGTAAGGAAATATATATACCTTGTTATTGATCGTGCTTGCGTTTTCGATTTTTCTATTCTGATTCACAACTAGGTATATTTTTTAACTAGCTTAGAGTTTTCGATCAATGTTCTTACATTTGATATTCTGAAGACTATCAGAGGAAAATCTTCAGTATGTTTTGGAATGCTTGCCTTTTTTCAAACCATTCTTCTTTCTCTGGGTATTTTCAATAATTTTCTGCTGTTTTTTACAACAGTAGCAGCATTCTCTGCTTGTTTTTTTTAAAACATGATTTTATCGTGTTTTCCATCTTCATTTGATATGATAAATCCTATGCTAAAAACCTCCTCCACACAATGCCAGTGTGCTCCTTCTGTTTTTCGGATTGCCATGTTGCTAATCCATAGGGATCCTTAGAGATTTGTTTCCTCTTGTTATCAGCTGTTAACGTAGCACTTTTACCATTTTTGGTACGGATATGGATCTTCTTGTACAATTAAGATGCAAAGATGGCCCATTCTTGCCCTTAGAGACTTCAGTTATCTGAAATTCAACTCTTTCCTTTGTTTGCTTGGTCAAATTTCTAAAAATTAACTACTGATGCTTGTTTGTGATTTCATATTGAAGTGCATTGCCTGTTGGCAAAGCTTCCCTTGTTTTTACAAAAATCCATCGCCCTTTCTTTGCAAATTCCAACGTATTTTTGTTGAATTGGCAATGTTGTATTGAGAGGGATTATCAACTTTAATTTTGTTAACTAGATATAAGAAACGTATATATTTTTAAAAGATAAACTAAGATCCGTTTATCTTTTTTCAGCCAACTGATAAGGCAACGCGGTTTAGGTGTTGTGTTTATATTTTTTGTTTTGTTTTTAGAAACCTCGTTGGAGTCAATAATTTGTTGTCAAACAGTTAAAAAAGTAAACTGTCTTCTTTCGTTTAGGTTTCACCAGGTGAATTCGTGGAGCAATGACAATGGAATGAACGTTGCTGTAAATGTTTGGTTTCAGCACAAGTTGAATCACCAACCCAAGGACTGTAGATTGTCACCAGAAGAAGCTACACTTGATAAATACAAGTTCTCTGATCTTGAGCGCCAAAAGAAGGAGTCTTCAGAGGGGCCAGTGGAGGAGGAAAACCAAATGTGAGTCTTGAAATCTTCGATTGGTTGTATTAGCACAGCATAGGTGTCTATGAGGAGGACCCGTATCTAGAAGTCAACCGCACACATGACAGTCAATCGTATATGTCTGTCCCTATTAATGTTTGTAAAGTGAATTTTCTGAAAGAAGATTATAACGGATAATTAGAAGTCGTGGAGGCGGTTATTTGAGATTATCAACTTTGAAAGCTGTTTGTTTCAATAGAATCCAATAGACTATACCTTATTTCTCGTTTGATTACCGGATCGACCTAGAGGCTAAGATCGTAGTGTAAGCTTTATGAGCATTTAATTAATTACTACCAAAACTATGAATTTGTTGTGGTAATTCAATAAAACGCCATGGGCAACCTCAGATGGCAAAAATCATCAAATTGAGGGGTCCAATTTGAGAATTTACGGTAGTAGTGGGGGCTTATTCGAGGGGGAGGGGGGCAATTCGAGGATATACGATATATTATATTTCTTGTTTGATTACCGGATCGACCTAGAGGCTAAGATCGTAGTGTAAGCTATTGGTATCTTTGTTATTCCTCCTGAGGGATTTTGTGCAATTTAACCTTCAACGATTTTTCGATTCTAGCGCAAATTTTGAAGCCTATCTTGATGATACTAAAGACAAGTCGCTTACTTTTGAAGATTTTGTCGAGAAAATCAAAAGGGTAAGAGTATTCAATATTGTTTGTCTAGGACTTTTGTTTATGTTAAATGAATTCAACCAGTCTCAAATGCAGAAACGTACAACACGCTCAGCTCCATTGATTATCAAATGCTGTTTTTCCGGACATATCTGTTAAATGGACAGTTTGATAACTTAGACGGCATTCGAAGGCCATTAACTAAACAGCAGGTTATCGAAATATTCGTAAATTATAACCGGTCGGGCAGCAAGTATATGTGAGCTATGATAATATTTCTTTTCTGCGCATATTTATATGTATAATGTATAATATTTAAGCATGTATATGCATATCTTAATGTATAAATATCATTCTATAGTTTGATTTACACTTTCCATATCACTTTTCGATTGCGCAAGTAACTTGATTGGTTAGAAAATGAAGTCGTGAGTGATAGACATAAAACGTTCTATTTCTTAATCGACACATACCCACCTTGAACATTGGCATATCATGACACACACTAGAGAAAAGTGCAAATAGATTTTTACATTCGCTGTAGGGAATGACGATAAGTTTTTCCTGGTTTGATTACAAGCACGAAAACATACAGTTGTATTCTCACATAGTCCCTTGACCTCATGACTTGCAAAGACTAGGAATAGCTGGTAAACATTTAAAACATGAAGATAGAGCCTTACACGCTTACGCACATGGCGCTAACACACCTTTGTTGATGGTTCTATGCTGAGTGGCAACTGTTCCATTTTGTATATATAAACTAAAATGGTCATTAGAATTTATTTATACCATGTTTTTGTAGGACGGAGCTCTGACAAAAGCTGATATCTCATCACAGCCTACTTTGGAAACATTCTCTGAAGTAGTGAGACCTGTAAGTTACGCGTTAATGACATTAGTCAATCAAGTATACATAATTTAAGGCATAATCCTAAATTTTTATTCTATCATGTTGTTCTGCTGTTGCTGCAAGTTTCATTTTTTTGGAGTGGCTTTTTAAATATGAGTATAGGGTCCAAAGGCTTTTTTTCAGAATTTGGTCCTTAGAAGATGATTTCCAAATTGATTTGGTTATCTGAAAAAAATACAACTTGGATACTTTGGGAGAAAGACTTTTTTTCATTACTCTATGAAGATTTGATTATTTGAATTTTAGATTTTAATTGAACGACTTTGATTAAACTAAAGGTAATTTTGATTTTGTAGTTCAAGGTCAAGCAGATTGTATTTTAAGGGCCTTGGGCGCCTTTACTCCAAAATCGATTTATAAAGTTAGCCGAACTTTTATCATTTGTAAATTCTATTTTACTACAATTATGTTTTATGTTGATAGCTTGGCCTATGGTTTTCTTTTGAAAGAAACATGATTGATAAACGTTGCTAGTTATAAAAGTTGATTGTTGGCTATTGTCGCTGTTTAACAATCCTTTCGTTGGTCTAAGAAAGTTTTTTTATGTCGGCTGTGGTCAGAACTTCAAGGGCAAGTATGGTTTGATGTGAAGTTTAATAGGCATAAATTTAAGAACTTTATTTTCAAAAGATAATTTAAGTTGAATTGACTAATTTTTTTTGTAGCTTTTTGACATTCTTGATGCAGACAAGAATTCAAAGCTCGAAACCGCTGATTTCGATGAGATGGAGAAGTCTGGTAACGAGGTAAACTTCTTCTATTCTTTTATTGCATTTATAGGTCGACTGCTTTGAGGTGTTACTTGATAAGGGGGCTTGTTTTAAAAATCTTTCCAGTGAAAATTTAGACCTGTTTTTAGTGGTTAGGTGCGCACTTTATTGAATTAAGGGTCAAGGCTACGGTTTTTTACTGAGTAACTTGAAAACAACGGGAAAGTAGGATACAGAATGCTTGAATAAATGTCTTGTAAATCATAGGCAATTCTTATAAAATATAATGGATATTCTATTGCAGGAATTAGATACTGAAATCAGCCGCTTAACTGCGTCAGTTGAAGACTATTGCGAAGATTTGATAGAGGCTATAAACAAAGGTAAGCAATTTGCTGTTAATTGCCAACACGAGTCTGTTTGTCTGTAAAAAAAGAGATTTGAGCAGTTGTGTGGGGATGGGATAATCATTCTGTGAGACTGGGATAATCATTTTGTAGGATTTGGAACATAATTCTGTCAGAATGCAATAATCATTGTAAGGGGATGGGATAATTATTCCGTGAGACTGGGATAATCATTCTGTGGGAATGGGATTATCATTCTGTGGAGATGGGATAATCATTCTTTGGAAATAGGAGCATCATTTTGTAGGACTGTGAACATCATTCTGTGGGAATATGTTAATCATTGTGTGGGGATGGGATAATCATTCTGTGAGACTGGGATAATCATTTTGTAGGATTTGGAACAAAATTCTGTCAGAATGCAATAATCATTGTATGGGTATGGGATAATTATTCCGTGAGACTAGGATAATCATTCTGTGGGAATGGGATTATCATTCTGTGGAGTTGGGATAATCACTCTGTGAGACTGAGATAATCATTCTTTGGAAATAGGAGTATCATTTTGTAGGACTGTGAACATAATTCTGTGGGAGCATGTTAATCATTGTGTGGGGATGGGATAATCATTCTGTGAGACTGTAGGATAATCAATTCGTAGGATTGGGAACATCATTCTGTGGGAATGGGATAATCATAATGTGGGAATGGGATAATCATAATGTAGGAACGGGATAATTATTCTGTGAGACTGGAATAATAATTTTGTAGCCCTGGGAACATCATTTTGTGGCAATGCAATAATCATTGTGTGAGACTCAGATAATCATCCTCTGGGAATGTGATAATCATTCTGTGAATTTGTTAATCATTTTGTGGGGCAGGGAAAATCATTCTGTGGGGATGAGATAATCATTTTGTGAGACTGAAATAATCATTCTTTGGAAATAGGAGTATCATTTTGTAGGAATGTGATTATCATTTTGTGGGAATATGTTAATCATTGTGTGGGGATGAGATAATTATTCTGTGAGACTGGGACAATTATTCTGTGATACTTGGATAATCATTATGTGAGACTGAGATAATCATTCTATTCAAATGGAATAATAATTCTGTGGAACTGGGATTATCATTTTGTGCTGCTATTGTAATTATACTGTTGGATTGGGATAATCATTTTGTGGGACTTGAATGATCATTGCTTTGAGTCTTTGAGCTTTAGCAACCACACTCAGAGGGTTGTTTAAACAATACCTTCTATGAATGGGGTTTGGCCAAAAAATTCTATTTCGCAAAGTTAGGAATAGAACCCCCTCAAGGACCTACGAAGTAATCTTAAACAGCTCTCCACCAAAGCACATTCTTGTTTTTATAGCAGATGACTTATTGTTTTTATAGCAGAACCAATGACTTATTTGTTTTAGGATTATCAACAGATGACTTTGAGGCCTCTTTAAAGGAGCCAAAATTAGGGGGTGACAAATCTGCTGAAAATGATGAGGAAGAAAACGCTGCCACTAAAGATGAATTGTGAAGGTATGGTCATCAGACTTTGTTAGAAGCAAAATCAATGTGGTATTTTCAATGCTTATATTAGTTTTGGCTGTTGCGAAATTCGTATTTTTTAAATATATTTAATGTTTTCTAACGTCCACATGTTGTAGTTATTTCTAAGAGCAATCACTAAAGCATATCTTCATTGATAAATAGCATAGAAAGTTAGTGTATTTTTACTGTGTAGTTTGTTTCGATGCTGCCAAACAGTTTCTAGGTGATGGCCTTTTCATGCAACCTATAGCTAGTTTAAATATTTAATTTACTTATGCTAAAGGACTTGGGGTGGCCAGATCAGTTAATATGCACTAATTTATCTTAGGGCCATCTCAACAGTTGTTAGTGGTGTGTGCTATTCAAAACTGAAGGCAGAACTTTTATTCTCTATTGGAAAGCTAAGAGCAAGTTGAGTTAGGCTTGCATTGTATTTCGGCCAAGATGCTTGAGGAAGGTCTTATTGCATCAGTTATTATTTCGTTTTATTCAGAGGGATTGCTTTTTATCAGAGAAAGGGGCACCGGCGTTGCATATGCATTCATACATTGCTTTATACTTGACTAGATACTTTTAATTCCCTGTGGGAAAAATGTGGCTGTGGCAGAGAAAAGGAGAAAGAAAAATTATTTCATCTCTCTCTCCCTTTTCCTCGCAATAACTGTACCTTTGATGGTCAGATTCTCCTTTCAAAGTATAGACATTTTGAAATTAAGATTTTGTACTTTCGGAAAGAGACAAAAAAAGAGAGACTTTGGAAAAGTGTAATTGGATAATAACCATATAACAAGGTAAAAAAATTCAATTTAAAACACTAATCAAAGAACCTGCTTTGTTTTTTAAGACTTTACTCAGCAAAGCACAGCATCTGTTACTTCAGATGATACCTTGGTATCAATTAAATGAAATACAATATTTCATCTGCTCTGGTACTTTTAAAGACAGAACAACTGTCCTGTTCTCGAAGATCCGTAAAAATGAAATACTGCTTTCATTTTGCGCCTTTATTGTCACTTTATTGACAAAGGCATTCAAAATAGTTGCCTCTCTGAACTGCATTCTGAACTGTTTCAAGAAATACAGAAGACTATCTACCAGGAAATATTGTCAGTTATTATCTGTCCAGTAACCGCTGTTGAATAGTTACTATATTCAGATGTGCTCCAACATGGTTGGTCTGCCTTAAAAATGAGACAGTAGGGGCCAAATGCACAGATCTTTCAGCAACATCTCTTGGTAACACAAATACATAAGATACTTTTTCCGTACCAATCAGTACCATTGTTGAAATTTGCTTTTATCTTGATGACGATCCACCCAGAAATGTGTTCTCACAAACTTTGCAATACACATAAACCTTAAATTGAAATAAGACAAAGAATAAGTTGAGTTTCTAGATGCATTCTCAAAGCAATATAATAAAGGAAGGAGAGCCAAAGATAGTAAAGATGCGCTAAGTATGAATGAGGAAAAGCAATGATAACTTTGCAAATGAAGGAAGATATCAAAAGGTTAAGAAGCTGTTACAAATAACAAATGCCTTCTGTCTTATTTTTTTACCACACTTTTTTTGTCATTTTTCATTTGAAACATTTTTTTTGGTATTAAAGTCCGCATCAAAAAGTTGGAACTTGTAATAAAGGCCAAGGCATTCTTTAAAGAAAATGCGGTATCTCAATGATATATTAGCATGTACTGAAACTGTGTGCAAACACTAAAAACCTAAGCAGATACAAACAAGGAAAGAGCAAAGACTATTCAGAAAAATGGTTATCATAGAAAGGTGTTCATAAGAATACTTAGCTTAAAAATGATGAAGCCCCATGCCAATTCATGTAAATGATATGCAAATTAGAATGCAAAAGGATGATTCAACCAAAATACTTTTAAAGAATAAACATTTTTGCAAGCAAGAACAAACTTTGATTTCTCTGTCTTCTGATCCACTAAACAGCATATCACCACGAAGAGTGACACAATTGACACTGGCTTCATGACGAGACAGAACCTGGATTGGCAGCAATTTGGCAAGGTCCCAAACCTGAAATGATTGAGAGTTGTTATGAATGGAAAGCTTATGTTACATGATACACCTTTTCACCATGACATGTTTTTGATAGTTAGCAGAATATATGTCATGGAAATTGGCGAGACAAACAATAGAGACAATCAATGGTCCAAAGATAGAATCGTGGTCCAGTGCAGAGACCTTAGAGCCTCTCTAAATGTAAACCAGTTGAAAATTTTCTTGGAATGTTGGGTCCCAAAACTACTAGAAAGCCAAAGATAACCAATTAATATATCACCGAATATGAATTTAAAAAAAATGAAAGCAACAGATCTACTTGTGGTAAATATTTGAAATCATTCAAGATGAAAGATTCCAATTATTGGGTTTCAAGCACTGTACACAATCCTTGTGCTTTACCATTTCAAACTGACAAGGTCTTATTTTTGAAATGTTGATGATTACTTTCTACCCATTGACCTTGTTTCATTGTGCTAGAGGTTGCTCCAAAATTACTATAGCTGTATATTTCACTTGTACCACAAGTGTTGATTAACCCCCTTCTTGATCCCAGGATCATATTTTGAAGCAAAAAAAAACTGAAAACTTAATCTCACCTGCACTGTATGGTCAGATGATGAGGTAAACAAAAAGTTTCCTGATGGTGATGGTGCCATTCCAGTTACAGTTCCAACATGACCATTAAAACCTTTGGCTTCTTGGTATGTGTTGGCATCATACAAATGCGTATTCCGATTATATGTTCCTTAAGCAACCAAAGCAATTCAAATGTTATCCTTTTAAGTCCTTACAAATTTATCATTAAATGATTTTAAAAAAGATTGATATTTAAAATGTTGCTTGATATTTCCTCTAGCCTTTTGTTTTCCATGTGTTTTCCGATGCACAGTGTGTAATCAGGCAGGCAAATATTATGAATAGATTACTATAATCAAATTAAATTAAATTTATTAATTGAGCAATTTTTCAACCAAAAATTTAATTTATTGAGAAACTGAACATCTTTCACCATATCAACTGGTGGGGTAACAAAAATGAGCCTTGAATTTTCTCTTTGATGTTATTTCACCCATAGCATTCTGTGCTACTTATATAATCAATTAGGGTTGATAAAAGAGTGACTCTTGACCCCAATGATGAATGAAAAATTTGACTTGATGACTCCAATTTCAATAACTTTTATGTCTTTGCAAAATACCGTGCAAAATAATCATATTCTGAACACTGCTTGCTTGTTTAAATTTGATTGCGAATCAATATTTTTATTTGATTTTCACAGAAGTTACTCCTTGCTGAACTCAAAACCTTATATAAACAAGTTTTTACCTATAATCAAGTATTGCTGTGTTACACCAAGAGAGTACACAGATCCATGGCTGTGATCAACTTTCCCCTTCAATGTAAAGTTATTTGCATCCCAAATATACACAGTATTGTGCGAGCCACTGAAAACTCTTTCCTGTGAAAAATTGAAAAATAAGGATGTCTATAAGCAATGCACTGATAAAAATTTGGATGAGTAAATTCTGACAATCTTTTGTCTTTTTCGTGTCTATGTCTATGTCATGTTTTGTATTTAGGTAGTTTTTATGACACTGAGAAGCTACAATGCCTGCCAAAAGTCTTGGAATACTGACATCATTTTCCAAGGTCAAAATCAATCATCCCCCTCTCCCCCACAGAACAATGTTGGTTTACTATAAAACGGCTTTGGATATTAGGAAACACTTTCTTTTGCACTTCTTTTATGATATTTCTCTAAATTATCAACATCATTCTAGGGGGAAGTGGGCAGAAGTAGAAATTTTTTTCAGAAAAGGAATGAAAGATATGAAATACAATGCAAATTGTTGGGTGTTTCAAGTACTTTTGGCAGGCATTGTAGACTTGTCAATCAGAGTCCTGGTCCTTCCTTAAAATATACCATCATCTCATGCTTCTTCTCGCTTTTAAGTGTAATTTTGGTCAGGGCAGTAACTTCAATCCAAGATCCCTGAACCAGTAGTCTGTGACCCTAACCACCGTTCCACCCTAGCACACAAAACTAAAAGGCCCCACATGCTGTTACTTTCCTCAAATTAATGAAATTGAGTCCATCTAATCAGCTTTTGCTTAAGATTTAAATTCTACTTACACGGTTCCTGTCACACACAAGAGCTCTCACCCAATGCTTGAGATCACTGATAGAGTGAACAAGTTCTAAGTTGACAGATTTCCAGACCTAGGGATTTAAAGAATTCTTCATTTTTTTTATCCTGAGACCACAATATAAAAATATTATGCTACAATTTGATATAGTAGGTGTACAGTAATTCTTCATGTACATGGAACAATGTATCTTTTCCAAATAAGAAAATTTTTTTTTACTTAATTAATGTTTCCAAACACAAACATGAATGATAAAACTTTCTTGTCATAGGAGGCAGTAAAGTATAGAAAAATGGGCATGTTTATATTGTGCTCTTATCATCTTTTGAAATTGCCTGCTACATGTTTCTTTAAAATTTGAAACCATCTTTCTTTGGTTTCCTTGCATTTGGGAACAAGGGAAAAAATCTTTTGCAGGTTTGCAAGGTAAAGAATTGCCTTTCCGTGCTCTATCCTTTGCAAAGGTGCTAAGCAAATGTGTAGGATTGAAGACTAGATTTACCTTGATTGAAGCAAAAGATGAGCTGAATATATACTTCCCAGTGTAGACAATTGCACACACAATGTTATCATGGGCATCCTGTAAATTTAAGAAAATATGAAATAATGTAATAAGGCAACATATGCAAACAGGCAATTTTTTATCTCCTATGCAGTTTATAGGTTTATAGATCTAGCTAATATCATATTTGAATAAAATGGAATTCATTTGATTAAAATTAAATGCCCTGATAATACAAAATAGATGCTGAGTCATAGCATAAACACTATTAGTTCATTTTCTAACAAGGCATGCTTTCAAGAATCCAACACAATTAATACAATTGAGAGTTTTAGCAGTGAAAGTAACTGGATTTCTTTAAGAGGTTTGAGATGGTGCTTTGTAAAAATAATAGAAATGCTTCTTCAAGTGTGATTTTCATTTGTCATTTTACCTCTTTCACAAAATGTGCTTGATAATTAGATAAGTCCCAAGTGCGTATACATTTGTCTGAGCCTCCACTGTACAATAGACGATCTCCAACACAAAGTACATGTATCTGCAGGAAGGAATCAGAATCTTCAATTTTGGAATGCATTAAAATGAATTTGTGGGTCAAATGCAATGATTTACTGGTTCTTAAACTGATAGCATTAAAAACATCATATTTGCAATGGGTGGCAACTCCCAACAATTTGCTGGCAAAATGAATATAAAAAAATGTCTGGTATAATTTATTTAGGTGCCAGTATTTGAGGTGTCAGTTGTTTAATTGCTCTGACCATCAAATTGCAGCTCTGTTGGATGGTAAACAGTAAACATATGCCGAATTCTTTGCAATATGTTTCTTTGGTGAATACTCTCAACTTCATGACTGTTTTAGAGCCTCTAAGGCTCTCTTGTCCATTTCTACAGCTCCAGCTTCACACTGTCACTGACAGCCTTAGGCCTGTTTGTGGTCCTCTTCAGTTTGATGATCCCTATTACTGGCAAAACTAACTATTTGAGGTGTCAGTTGCTTCCTCATTTTTATCATATTCTTAAAGGCTTCCTCTTACAAAGGTGAACAATAAACTAAAAATATATAAAATAGACTGTTTGGAGAGGGCTGAGTGGTAATGTTGTCATTCTATATAGCGTAATACTTACATCCCCTCTGTGTCCAATCATTGTCTGTATGCATCCTTTTGAGTTCTTAATGTCATGAATATCCCATACTTTAATCATCAAGTCTGCACCAGCACTGAAGAGCAGGTTGCCTCTAGATGCTAATGCCCATATTGTCCCAGTATGACCTCTTTAGAAAGAAAATCAGAAAATGACAAATGACCATTAAGTCAGGAGCAATGAAAGTGGGGTTAGTTAGATAGAGACTCTGGGCCTAGCCCCATAAGTGCCTTGTAAAAGTATCTTAAATGTATTGTATAGTGCACAATGAATAGAGTATCATCTATCTTAGGCTTGATCTTTGAGGTCTCTGAGATAGCTCTCCAATACCAGATTGATGAATTTGAGTTGAATGTTGAATTATTATGTTTCTTTCCAAGTCAATCCATACTAAATAAAATTCAATAAACAGTTTTGCTACATAAAAATGCAACCCTAAAATTGATAACATCTAATGCAAGACTACAAATTAGCAAAGATGAAAAAAACATTACACTATATTATATTGTATGAAAATGCTGTTATCATATGCATTTGCTGTGGGCAACCAACCTGAATGTTCCAATGCATGCAAAGGTAAATGGCATTTTCCAGTTCTCTTTTTTATTGGCTCGGCTCCATGACAAAGATCGTGCAGCCTGTGTAGGTGAAGTTGCTTGTGAACTTGATGAGGATGAAATTGATCTTTTCTTGTGAGCTTCATATAGTTCTAGCATATCTGAAGTTGATTGAGAACCAATTCTATCTCTTACAGCTGCAGCTTGTGCCATTCTGATTTGTTCAACAATGTTTGTCAGATAATCCACTTGTGATTTTAAGCTCTTTATCTGTCTGCAGAAAATCACTATACAATGTTTCTTTAAAAACAACGAACAAGTTTTTAAATGTATAGGAAAATTTAATGGAACTTATTTGATCGCATACAAATCCTAAATTGATGTAAAATCAGGATGAACAAACAACACATAATTCATACATATGTAAGTATAAGTTCAATCACTACTGGAGAGGTGGGTGCAAGGTGCAGCACTCCCTGTTACCATTTGCTAGGAGGGACAAGGAGCCAAAGTGCCCTCTTCATAAAAGGGTCCTTGGCATTGGTCTTTTATTATCAAAGAGCTAAGAATTATTTTTCAAATGCCCTTTTACTCAAGCTTGTCCCTAAGTGGTAACAGCATCCCTTGTAAAAAATCAAAATAATTACCTTTCTGCTTGCTTCATTTGGTTTGTCATAACTTCCTTATCATTTTCAAGAGATGCAACTTTTTCACTTAAATACTGTATTTTCTTGGTGACTACCTTTGAACTCAACCCGTTATTTCCAACCTGCACAAATATATTTTGACTATTGATACACAGAAAAATTAAATTATAAAAATGCTTGTTAGCAATATCAGTAAAAAATAAAACTAAATACAGATTCTGAGATCAGTATGACAAGTCTTATTTATGACATGGCAGTTTAAACTATCTTATATGATGAAAGGAAAGAACACTAAATTGACCATGAAATAAATCCACTGAAACTTGATGTAAAAATCATTTTAAAAAAGCAAGCAGTAGCAGTTCAAATAGCCAAAAGACAATACAAGAGAAATGATTTGCAGCCCTTGTATCTAGAGATGGGGTTTGGACGCAAACTTATCCCATCCTGATAGTTCAAATAATTTTATAATGAAAATTGACAAGAAAAGGTCAAAAGACCATACCCTCTTTTTTCCGCTAGCTAACAATTTTACATATGACATTATTTTTTTCTTGAAAATAAGAAAACTAATACGTAACTTCAAACAGCATGAACTTTTGGACAACCTTGACAAGTTATCGTTGTGGACAAATTGTCAAGCAAGTCAAAAAGTCATATGAGTGCATTATTGGTGTAAAAAAACTGAAAAATGTTGAAAATTTTCAAAATTTATGGGCTAATTAATCAGCTTTTTCTTCTTTGTTAATCTGACATGTTTTCTATAAACTAGATGGTAGCAAATGTTTGGTGGTATTTGTGCATTTTTTGCATGCTTGGTTTTTCAAAGCTACTCCTATTAGAAGTCTCATAGGTCTGAAATGAAATAACATTGTAACTTAAAAACTGCTCTTCAAAACAGATGATTACACTGTTTCTTTTTTGCAGATAATTTTTAACCATGGAAATATGATTGAAAATACCTCTACTTGAATTGCTGAGTCTAGATCACCATCCCTCCTGGGACAAACACTTTGATGTTCTACGACTTCATCATAGGTTCCAAAGAAAGAACACCCTGAGAAATACATGAATCCAATCAAGGAGTGTTAAGCTTTAGTGTACATCTGAACAAGGATTGATGTAGGCACCAAATAAATCCTTCAATTGACTCACCAGGTTCAGGGTCCATGCCATCAAGTTTAATGTGGGGGCCAAGACTAACTAAAATGGAGAGTCAAGGCTTTTTTCACCTTTTAGTGCAGCTTTGAAATAGTTTGCTTTGCAAAAAAATGTATGGTCACCCTGTTAGTCAATGAATGCATTTATTTAGACTTTATTGACTTCACACAAATAACTAAGTTCCCTGGACAAAATATAGTAGATTCTAATAAACTTTGGAATGTGAAGGGCGCAGATCTCTTCTGTATTCCCAATAAGACAAGTTGTGATATCAAAAAATATTTTAGAGGCGCGTATTGTAGCAGTAAGGATGAGTTAGCAAAATCCTTGAAAGATCTTTTTTGCAGATTATAGTAAAGCATAAAATAGGATTGGTAAATGTCATCTGGTGCTCACCTTTCCTCGAATAATCACAGGGAATCCGATCACAGTGTTTTAAATGCTCTTCTAAATCTTTTCTTCTAAATTTTCCACAAAAATTTGAGCTATTGGGGCATGGAATCAAAGCAAATTCACATAAATTTTCGTGCTCTTCTCGCTGGCTAAAAGTGATCTTTTCCGGGCAACCATTTTCGTCGATAACGAAGTCTTCATCAGAATCATATCGCATTAGCCCATGACGACAGTAAATTTTAAGCTCATCTAATTGACCCTGTAGGGCTCTATTGGCAACAAATGATGAGCCATCAAACGGAGTTTCATCTAACGGGCAACAACCAATTCCATGACCATGAACTGAACAGTCTTTGCAAAACGTGTGTCCACAGCTAGTCGAGATCACTGGGCTCCTAAAAACACCATCACAGCAAGGACATTTTAATGATCTTGAAGGTTCACTAACAAATTTGGTTGGAAAGTCCATGATTCTATATCAGCTTAAAACTGATCTCTGTCTTTCAATTGTTTCTCATTCAGTAAAAAATTGGTGGTAGGCCTATATATCATGAGCGTGCATGAATCGATCGTAAGGAGTGGCCATCAGCAAGAAAAACTTCCTACATGAAGACGAGCGGAAATTGATCCTGCATGACGTATCTGTGCTTCGAATTGCTAGCAGGCTATTTCTTGCATCTTTTCCGTGTTCCTTCAAACCCAGGAACAGAAACCTACCAAGGTACCCATCATTATCTTCAGCACTTCCCTTCAAGTTGATTTGTTCCTTTTGTTGTTGTTCTTGCTGCCTGAAGACGAGGCAATGACGGCGGGAAATTTCACAAGATGGAGTTATTCGTGGGTTTCTTCTTGTTGAATAGAAAGGCATTTCAGCTGTACCGCTAGGTAGGTCTGCAAGAAAATTGTGTCATTGACGAGTCTCTAATAAAGAAAGAAGGCTAGATAAGTCACAACCTAGCTTATTTATGTACTATCACTGCCAAAAGTCCTGGAACCCTGGTAATGTCAGTTTTCAAAACAGGGCCGTAAATCTGTCATGTGAATTGGGGGGGTCAGCAGAGCGAATGAATATAAAGTATGCAGTGGGTCATGGCACCACAAGGGTATGTGTTATGTTTTATGGAAACAGTTGAGGGGCAAATTACTTTAAAAACAAAAGTCAATATTTTTGGATTTCTCAAGACTTTCTGCTCTATAGAAGGTATTTACAGATATTCCTTAGTACATTGACTTGTGTTGATAATTGGATGGATAACATTTTTTCAGAGATGGCCCCAAGAAATTGAACATTGGGAGCTAAGAATCAAGTTAACTGTCGTAGGAGGACCCAACATGGTCCAGTCTGCAGAGTACGGCATGTGCACACCGGAGATATTTTTGTGCAAAACCTGTTGTACACCGGCTATTTTGGGTGTGGTAACTAAGATGGGTGTGGCTTCGTGTGGTCCCATAGAAAATGTCAGCTGATAAAAACAAGCACAGTCGTGTATGAACAATTTGAGATATCATGAATCTTACTTGACAAATATACAAATAAAAATTTGCGCTTTCTTCAACAGTATATTTCACACGCATTTTTAGGGTGAAATGCAAATTCACAAATTTTAGCCACAACAGGGGAAATAGTCGGTGCACACCAGCACACCAGACATTTTTGGTGGTGCACACCGGCACACCAGGCTTTTTGCTCGTGCACACCGGAGATCTCGTCGAAAAGTGCCACACTCTGCAGACCGGACCATGGTTGGGTCCGACGCCGAAGAAAATTTTTGAAATTTTATCTTCTAGAAAGGCATCCCCCAGAATAAATTTAATAAAAAACTAGAACTTTAAAAACTCAGGATAAAAAGTTCGGCGTTTTTCAGAAAAACACAGATTATTGTTTTTTGGGTGAAATTTTGGAGGGGAATTACTAAATTCTGGAAAAGTGGATATCAAAAATGTCACCATCTGCCCATCAAGTAGTTTTGTCAACATCATAATGTCAATTAAAGAAATCAATTTTATATGAGATACTTTTATAATAGGGGGTGTTCTCTCCTCGATTAGTCTAACTACTGAGAGAGCTCCTCCTGTAAGTAATTCCTTCCATACAATCTATCTTGTGTCTATGTTTTGTATTGGTATATTGTATTAATTTCTTGTATTTTAGATGTATGCTTGTCTTGTTATTGATAAATTGTATGTAGTGGAATTTAAAAAATGAAACTGAACTAAACTGAACTGAACTGGGAAGAATCATGCTTAAACCTTAGTGACAGACTTTGGGAAAATATGGGACGCTGTTGTATTGATTGGTAGAAATTTACTTTCTGAACAGAAATGTGCGTCTTCCTTATTTTGAGTGCTTTCAGTAGGCCATGTTTACACATAAAAAATGAATACATTTTAATGATACAAAAAGTGATTTACTAAATAAAAGTAAATGATAGACAAATAATAGAAATGTACGTAAACAAGTTAGTAAATAGGTCAAATAAAATGACAGATTGCTCTCCTTTTATTTTGTACTTTGTTTTCAAAAATAAACGGTAAAAAACGGTAGAAAACGGTAAGTTTTTATCTTGTAAAAATTATAAAAACCACTCTGCTTACAAAAATAACCTTATTGGCTGAGGTTTGTTGCAATAACACAGAAAAACGTAGTTTGGTTCTAACCCGGCTACCAGGGATTTCTTTCTTTCAAGGAAAATGATGGTAATTTCTCCAAAAAAATCGTTTTGCTCCAGATTTTTGGGGGGGTCCAGTCCCCCCCGCCCCCCGGGATTTACGGCCCTGTTTCAAAAGCAAATTCAGTACGCCTTTTTGGTGTGGCTTGTCTGAAATTTTTTAAAACTATTAACATTGTTTTAGGGGGAACGGGGACTGGAAGTAGTAATATTCGGGAAAACAAATGAATAGAAGAAAATCACAGCGCAAAGTCCTGGGTACGTTCCAAATAATTTTGGCATCGATTGAATAAAATTTTTTATGCTCACCACAAAAATTGGTTAAAACAACCATCAGTGTGTATCCCCCATTTAAAAACTTTGAAAACTTCAATCTTGAAACAATCTAATGTCCTATGAAAGCTATGTAAAAATTTGGATTATCCTCAAAATAAACTGTTCGTTGTGAGCTGTTAGCAACAATGTCCATTATATACATAACTATAGTATAATATATGAATCCATTGATATTTTGGGTCACTAGAAGCCCGAGGTGCAAGCACAAGAAGTTCAGCGTTGCTGCAAGCATATGCAAGTTTTCCAGTCTGGAGTTCATTGGTACATTTTTTACACAAATAGTACATTTCTTCAGTTCTTACACAATGAAGAACAAGAAACTTGATTCTAATTAGAAAAATGATTTAGCAAAAAGTAGTATATCTCTTAGATGATACTTAGATCTCTTAGTGTTTTCTTAAGTCATATAGTACTTCATTTATTTGTTTTTCTTTGATAAGAAAGAAAACAAAATAATGGAAGATTCAAGAGAACAAGATGCAAATGTTTTGTCTGATTGGAGTGGATCAATGACTCCTCCATTAATGGAAAGTGATGATGAAATTCTTGAGTCACAATGTGTAGTACCTCTGCAGAAAAAAAACTTTGAAGACATATCAATCATTGCTAAAGAAAATGGTTTGTTGAACCTCTTTGACTCATTTGCCTGCCAAATTAGAAAGATTTTGCTTTGTTGTATAGAGGCATGCCTTGACCTGGGGGAGGGGGCTAAGATAAAACATAGTAACAAAAACCATTGTCCTTATATTGCTTGCCCTAAGGCAAATTTTGAAGACCAGCTCAGTGCATGTGAAATATCAGCTGAATGTGCAAAGCTAAATTGTGGTAATTTAGTCTATGTTTAAAGAGTTGGGCATTTGAAATAGGTATAAAATTATTATCTGATTCTGACAAACTTTGAATAAAAGGGTTGACATTTGCTTTGCCTGATTCACCGCTAATATATTTTATTTGTGGGCAAAATTGTTAGCTACTTCCCTTCTTCAAGAGGAATGGTCCTTTTTTCCATCGTTATAGTTGTATGTACCTTAACAGAATGTTGCATTTTTTGCAGATCATTTGTGTTTAAAGGTGAAATAGTTTGGACTAGAAATGTTATTAATTGCTTTTGAAGTTCATTTAGGAATGCACCTTTGTGTTCCTGTGCTAACTTGCCCCATCCATGAATACCCTAATCATTTTTCCAACCAGCTATCACTGAATCTCTTTGTTTTGTTGATGTTGCTATTTTTTTAAAAAGTCATGTAATGCTAAATTGGATATTGAATTTAAAAATTTTTCTCTTGCCAGAACTTTTGCCAAATTTTGAATGCAAAGAATTCTCATTAGAGTTCAGAAATGATGCCATATTGGAAATGTTTCAACGGTATGTCAGGGTTCATGATGCCGGGGGGCCAGGGTGGCTATGCCCCCTACTCTTTCATAAATCAAAAGAACCTTTTTTGAACATTGTTTACCATTAGCCTTGTTTGCCCTTGGCCCACCAACCTTCCATGTTGTGCTAGGAGTCTATGAATTGTATCAACTTAAGATAATCTTTTCTATTTGAATCGATCAGGATTCATTCATGGTCAAAGTCTTATCAACACTGAACATTTCTTATCAACTTGTTATATATCAATTGTTTTTATTGAGTTTTGCAATTATTTCTAACTTCAAAATAGTATCAATTTTTCAATTTTTTTCAGATTTATCTTTACTCCATTTTAGTAGACATCATTACAGCAAAACTTTATTTTGCAGGCTGTTCAGTAGTGAATGTCCATACCCAAACAAAGGAAGTTTCAAGAACGATTTAATCAGTTTGTTTGGCTTTAGATTTTCTGTTGAAGAAGGGCTTACTTCGACTTACAGAAGAAAGTTATTTTTGCTTTGCAGGCAAGACTTTGCTTAATGATTTATTTACTAGCAGATTAATCATTATCTTAATTGGCCAATTTAAATTGAAGTGTCCATGTTTTAAGATTGTTTATTTATATTCTGTTAAATACTACTTCTTGAGTATTTACAACCTTTCTGAAGCCAGGAGGAAGTTGAAACCCAAATCTCACTTTGTAGACAATATTTTAAAAGTTATACTGATTGACTGTCTAGTAGTTTTTAAATGTGCAAAAAATTATGTTTCACAAACAATGACTGAAAACAAATGATTGAAAGTGTATGAGGCATTTTTCAGTTTTAATCCAGCTGTGCCTTTTGCTTTTCATAAAGTATTAGATAGAATGATATACACATTTGCTTGTTCTTCTTCCAAGTTTCTATAAATATGTCTCTCCCCTGTCAAGGCTACCAGAGGAACAAAGATTTATTCATACTGTCTCTTTTTCCCTTTTTTTGCTATTAAAAGACAACTTGGACAAGGACAAAAAATTTGGTCCAAATTTGGTCCTTATTTGGTAAAAACTTACAGGAAGTAGCATTTATTGAAAAATGTGCAGTAATGATCATAGCTATTTTCCAGCTTTTTGTCTATTTGCAACTTGCTGAATTCGATTATTTTTAATGAATTTGATTATAATTCATTATCTTTACCAGGCAACACATTTTTCAATTGAAGAATTTTGATAAATCATTCAAAAAGATTAACCATGGTATGTGTGCTATTTTGTAACTTCAAACGGTATGCAATCTTTTATGCATAATGTTTCTTTATGTTGTAGGCTAACTTTCTTCTTTTTCTCTTTTGTCATCAGAAACTTGAAGTATATTTACTCGCATAGTAATTATAGTTTCTTATATATTCGATTTATATCCCTCATATTTTGAGCAACAGAAATTTTTAAAGTTCTATCAGACTTTAAGGTCTATTTTTCAAGGTTTTGAGAGGAGGTAAATTAAGTTTATTTATCAAAATCAATGTCGTTATAGTAATATTGTTACCAAAAAGGATGTGTCATATGTTTCCATAATATTCTGTTTCATTCTGTAAAATCTATTTCCTAATTCAATAAACATGCACAGCTGTAAAAAAGCTTTTGCAAAAGTTTCATACTCATTTTTATTTAAAAAGATTTAGCTGGTGTTGAGACAAGCCTCAGTTTTCTAAGGTTTTGTTGGATTGGTATGTCTTTGCTTGCCATTAATTTAATGATACATCCTCCCATTCATATTATGTCTTTATTCCCTTTATAAAAGCTGCCTGCAAAAGTGTGATGCAACGTTGCAAAATCTTCTTTGCATATGTTGGTGAAATGCTACATGGGTAAGATCAACTCTGGTGTAGTATTTCAATTTCCATGATATTAAGTTGTCTTCATTGTCACTATCAATTACCACATCACAAAATCACAGTAAAAAAATCACCAACTCTTTGACAACTAGTAACAAACACATAGTTTAATTATTTGCTTAATGAACAATTATGGCTAAACATAACACACCAATGCCAAAAGTTGCAGCAGCAATATAATCATAATTTGCAAGGGGTGTTGGTTTTTTTCTAAATTTTGATACTTCACAATCATCAATCTTCCAGTATTGGCTAGCAGTTTAGGATTAAGTTATGTTAAAAATCTTTTAAAACCTTGTCTGTCCTTTCTTAATATCCTTTTCGAGCTAATGTCTCCAAATGTGACACTTACCTGCAGTTGAGCATTCTCCTGTCTTACTTTCTTTAACTCATGCCTCATTATTTTCATTTTATTTCTACCTTCTGGTACATTAACTTCAATTCCATTCAACCTGTCACGCTGTAAAGTCGTTTAGAAAATATGCTTTTTATTTCTTGCATATCAACCCCTCTTTGTCACTTGGCCTATACAAATTAGTACTACTCGTGACATCGTGACAAGGCCTCTTGAAATCAAACACAAATTTTTCTAGGTACCCTTTAGATGCATTTTCAGGTCTAGTTGTTTGCTTTTACATTTGCTTGGTATAATTCCAACTATCATTGATCTGTACACTGCTGCAGCAATGCCTTGGTACCGTTTCCATTCAATAGGAAAAGTTCATATCTATTGTATGATATACATTTTCCTTAATTTTTCCTTTGCTTCTTTGCTGGCAAACAATATTTAGACTATACAGATTCATGACGAGACTCATTAAAATCAATTTATAGTCTGCAAAACCCTTAAGAGTTTTTTTCCAAATTACTATGATATTTTCTATATAGAAAATAACACACATCCTAATTCCTTCAAGGGGCAACAATGACGAAGAGTCTGTTGTGCAAGAGCTTAGGGCCCTCATTTCATCGATTGGAAGAATTCACAACCATGCAGTATTGGAGGCCTATTGGCATGCTTCAACTATTTTGACATCTTTATCTTTAAAAGGTAGGCAGAGATTTTTTTACAAAGTACTATTGAAACTCTCTTAAACATGATTTGTTTGGTGAAGCCTTTCGGTTGTAGCGTGTTCTTGAAAATATTAATTTTTCTTTGACCTTGGAATGTTGGTCATAACTTCAGTCTGCCAAACTGATGCCCCTACTGATGTTGCAAAATCAGTAGCACTATTATGGCAAAATATTAAATGCCTTTTCGGAGATTCACATTCAGTGGTAAGGATAAATACCAGCTGGTGGGGCGAAAGGGTGCAGGAGTCTGGAGCCAAAGGCCTCAGTAAAATTTTGTGTGACCACGCCCTCTACACACTTTGAAAATATGGGAAACGTTCAAATCCTACTTCTTAGATGGTTTAAACTTGTCATTCTAAAAGATTTTTAATTAGATTTTTGAAAATTTGCTAGAAAACAATAAACTCCATTCCTGGAAGTACATTATTAAAGCAATTATTTTTCTGGGAGATGTGTCTTTGGTTTTGGCATGTCAAATGGTTTTTAAAAAAGATTTTGTTGCATTTCCTATAAGCATAAAGTTTTTAATTGACAATAAAAACAACACTTAAGCCATTGTTATTTCGATCAGTTTTCATTTTGATTCATTTTCAAAGCCCTTTTTCAACTGTATGCGTTTCATATTAAATAAAGGTACGGACAAGGCGATGATAGTTTTAAATGACAAAAGAGATGATAGTTTTATCGGATTTCATTTAAGAACGGAGTAGTGTGAATGGGTGCTTATCCTGGATTAGAAACTTGAAACACTTTCTTTACATTAAGCAAATTAAGAAAATGATACTTTTTTATTTTCTTGCCACCCACCTCGTCCTCTTCGCCCCTTATCCCTTCACCCTCTCACCATCTCCACCCTCTCACCATCTCCACCCTCTCACCATCTCCACCCTCTTGTCCTTATCCTCCTAGCCCCCTCGCCCTCTAGTGCCCTCCTTTGATTCCATGTTACAAAGAATCTACCCATTTTTAACATAATCTTTTTTCTGGAGGACATATGCAAACATCTCAACTTAATTTTTGCCTGTATCACTATTGTTACTTCGGATTGACTTTCCTTTTTGATAAGCAAATTTCACGATGTCTTTGATACTCATGTCACTATTTTCAAACTGCCAGTCTTTAGTTTTATATGATGATTTAGCGTTTAGTCTTGTAATATATGATGTTCTGTTTCTAGATAATGCCACAAGATTCACATGTATTTCAACTTTGGAGGAATATTTCACAGTAATCATATGGGATCTCGCTGTTTTGGCACTGAACATGTTCACAAATGTATGAGCACTCGGGTGATATTCATAGTTTAATCATTTCTTTACAAGTTGTTATATTTACAAATAGCTGTAGTCGCTTGCTGTCAAAATTGAAATCTTTTTTTACTTCCTAAAAACTGCTGTCTTATTGAAATAAATATATTTTAATTGTTGATTTTTTTATTCTTAATTGGAAACTGTTGATTGTGGAAAGCATTTTCATAGCTTTTGTTGGAAAGGTGCACCCCCCTCCCCTCAGGAACAATAGTAACTGCGGCTCCGATGAACGTAACATCTTTAATACCTTTCTACTACATTCATGATTGTTAGCTAAGCATTTTTGGAAACTAAACGAGGCTTCTAATCTAATACGGTGATATGTTTTCTCAGTCGCCAAGACTTGCAAATCTACCCCTAAAACTTTATTATAGAGGAAGGTTTTGTATGTAGTTCAAAATTTTAAGACTGCACATGAAATGGATCCAAATCATAACAAATGTATAGGCCATACAATGCCAGTTAACAATGCATTACTTTTGCAATCCTTCAAACTTTGATTTTACTTTTTATTCAATTTTAGGACAGAAACAGCTTTTCATCTAAGAGACATAGTTTTCTGCCATGCTCCTGCTGTTTTCAGATGGTTTTGTTCGTCATCCATGTCTCCGATAAACTTTCTTCAACTGAAAACTGTCAGGTAGATATGCTTTATCCATCTCAAATGCCCTCTTGTTCGTTTCTTTATCACAATAAAGCTCCATATTATACCTTTTTACATAATGATATTTTTTCTATCATTGCATTTGTATCTATTTCTGTAATGTAAGATCTTTTCTATTTCATTCCATACTAGATTCCATATTTTTTCGGCAGGCAGTTGAATAATAGGCCTTTTCGAAAGAGGCAGACTGCCGATTTCTAAACGGATGTAAAAATAGAAAAACGAAAACATTGAGCAAAAATAAGTGTTTCTGCAAACAATTTATTCGATCTCTGACACGCAGATCCTAAAGTTATGATTTTTACATCTCCATGGATTTGACTGTAGCTGATCGTCTGCCTTAGCTAGATCAGATATATTTCATATTATTTATTCAAATGCATATATTTGCATCTATTGACAAATCTGCATGTATTTATTAGCAAAATGCTGGTAAAATATCAGTGGCATCATGTTATCAGTGGCATCATGTTCTAGAAGTTTTTTAGTTTTGTTAAAAACTTCTTGCAGCCTTCGTTTTTGTTGACACTTTACTTCTCTTTATCTTAATCTGCAATTTTTAAAACCAAAAGCGATATTTCTTTTCTCATGCACAAATGCTTAAACTTCGAGCAATATTATCCGATTCTTGAAAGTCTATGATATTTTAATGCTTTCGGAACAGAGATTTTCGAATCAAATTTAGTTATTTCTCCTGTGACAAAAGTAAGTTTCTCGGATTCCTAACAATGGTCTCCTTTTGTAGGGTTTTTGGTCCTTGTTTTCTGGCGTTTGTTCTTGCCTCCTGGACACTTCCACAAAATCAGCTATCGAAGAAGATTATTTTTCCAAAAAAGGTACGATTGTCGTTGTAATCATTATATTTAAAAGCCTTTTTTTACTAGCGAATGAATTTTTACATGTGACGAATTATTATTGCAAACATGATACAGAGAGTTCATGCAATTAGATTAACTATTAAAATTTTGTTGCATTAACAAAAAATTTAAAAAGACTTCAACAAATGTGGATTTTTTAATAATCGTTTAATTCTAGTGAGAAATGATTGGCATATGTCCCTATTTTTGCCAGATTGTCAGAAGGACTTACGGTGATGAATTTTCAACAGAATTGCATTTAAGACCATTTTAACCCTCGACGTTGTTTTGAAAAAGTATGGTCGAATGATGGACAGTGGAAAAAGAGGATCTTTCCGAGATTCCGCTTTGTTTTCTCTACCCAAGACACAAAGCGCATGTGCGAATGCATTCAATGCTAAACAGGTTTTTCATCTGCATGGGAGCTCACTCGTGGCAACTTTCTCCTGATAAAAGCGAATGGCGCCTTTACTCACATATTGCAGCTAACCAATCGCTGTCCCCCAAGGCTTAATTAAGGTTACGGTAAACGTTTTCTGGATGAAAACATCCATTTTTCGATTTTTTCACATTCAAGTAGCTGAACTTTAAAGGTACACAATGATACCAAATTTGAAAGAAACAGAAATTCTTTACATGGAAAAAATCCCATGTAATCGAAGGTTTCAATAATTTCTTTATCAGAACTTTTTTTTGAGGCCTGAAAATCTCTTGACCTGTTCAGCTGTGTTAATTTAAACAGGTTCATTGATCTTAAAGCTTCGAATGACATGACCCGGATTACACTGTGGTTTACGAGTGTACCTTGCAAGTGCGATCAGTAAAATCCCGTTTTCTCCGGACTTACAATTCCTCTACATACAGGTGCGAAAAGGCTATTTTGGATGGGTCAAAACTTTGCAAACGGCTAGGATAGATGTCGGGTAAGCAAAGTGTGGCTCAAAGTTTATGTATTTGCTCTGGTCCGTTTTTTATAGCCAAATACAGCTACGAGAGGGAAGAAAAATTGTTTGACAATTTTTGACAGGGTATAGTTTCAAAGGGAGGAGGAATTTGAAAAACCTGAGTCACACTTTGGTAGCTAAGAATCTGCGCTTTCTGCTGATATTAGTCAGATTTTGTTACCTCAAATGCAAGGATACAAAATAGCTTTTGAAGGTGGTACAATCATTTAAGCAATAAATTTGCCTGGAAAGTATCATTTTACAACCTTTGCTAGTTATTTTGATATGGTTGGAATCACCACATTCTTATGCATCGAATGATGTATAGTTTAATCTGATTCCTTTGATAGTTTTGTTTTTAGGGAGAGAAAACCAAATATCGTGTCAAAAACGTTTACCGTAACCCTAAGGAATGACCGTATCGTCGAAAAACCAAAAAGGGGCCGCCGAGAGTTTCTCTTGTGCCCTTCATTTTTTCTGTGACAGAGATTTTAAGCAGTGCTATAAATAGCCCGCGCGCCTCAGCCCGCGCGCCTTAACCCGCGCGCCTTAACCCGCGCTTTATCTGCATCATGAACGAAATTTCATAGAAATGTTGACTCTCCAAGCCCCCCCTCTCCCAATCGCCAACCCTCCAACCTTAGTGGAAGCTTATTTTACGCAGGAGCTCGAACCACTACGGCCTATTGTCACACATTCTGCAGCCTTGGTACATAGACATTCATTTTGGTAGCTATATGTTAATAAGAAGCCCACTGAAAAAGGATGCCATTACAACATTAGTCAATTGGTGGACCTGCCCTATCCCTAAGCTAAATACGCAAGAAATGTTATGCTATTTGCAAACACTTACTGCCGATTACAGCAGATTTTACGTACCCCTCATCTCGTTATCTTTCTTTGCGGCCTATGCTTTTATATACGCCCCTCTTTGCTCCCAAATGCCATCTGCTTGCTTAAGCGTTCTCAGCCTGATTTGCGGTTTATACTCTATTTTTTCGTGTGTCCCAATGAACGTTCATCGATGGCTGATTTTGCTAATAAAGTTAATTTTCTCATGTTTTGTCCCTCATCCATTTTTAACTCCAGCACCACCTGGTTTCTCTGTTAATGAACCCATTACCTTTGCGTGGTGGTTGCTGAAAATGGTTGCTCCTCTTTACAAGTATGACATCGGTGGGACACTAGTTTATAAAGAAAACGTAAGTAGTATTACTCAAGTATCTTTAAAGGTAAAGAAAGAGATTCCCCTCATCCATGCATCATTATTGACTTAATGAAGATTTCTTTAAATGTATTGTTTGTGTCAGCTATTAAAAGAGCAACGTTAAATTTCAGATTTCAAATATCGAACAAGTCATTTCAATTTTCGGAAACTGTTAATATTATGTCAATAAATAGATATTTTCTTTTTTCTTGATACACACATAAAATAGACATGCCTGTCATTGCCTGCACTGCTGTTTACCTCGATAGTAATCCATGCAGTAGTTTTTACATTTTTAATGTTTCTAATTATCTAATTTCCAGATGTACTTGCCAAGTAATTGGCTTCTTATTCAGGATCTTTTGAAATCAACTTTTAACACCAAGGTAAGGTATTGCATTACTTTTTTAAATGCAGAGATTATTAGAAATTTTCTTTGAATTAAACAACTGTATGATAGAAAACAAATGTGAATAACCTTGTTTGTTACTAATGTGATTTGAACCCCCTTATTGTCCATTATTCTTGATTGACACGCCCTTCAAAATGAACTATAGCATTCTGAGCTACCAATCCCATGTCAAGAGATGTAAGAAACCAGAACGTAAGAAAATGACACTTTCAAACTTTATGACGTCATAATGGCGTCTTCTTCAACTTTCTTTGAAACATACCATCAAACGATGCGCCGCTATAAGCTCTTTAGATTTATATAGGTATATTGGGTAAAGGGTTATTTATGTGGGATGTTGAGGGGGGTACCATGTTTGTGAAAAAAATTTATTTGCAAAAAACTTTTTTGGTTTTTTTGCCTTTTGGCACATATTGGCACAGAAAAAAGTTGTCAATAAATTTTGCACCACTTTCCCTAATTGCCAAGTGGATGGGAAGTTTTTCTCCCAGTGTTTTACACCATATACTTGATTGTCTGTTGTTTGTTTCTATATATCACGAGTGAATGATTTATCAGAAAATGACCCCTTCTAGTATTACGTAAATATCGTCAGATACAAGATACAGTGAAAGGCCCCCATATGAGACCCTCTTTTATAATAACCTAAAGCAAGAAAAAAATGTATTTTGGCCAGTTAATAAGGACGTCGCTTGTTCTAATTTTCAAAATGGTCCTTACTCAAATGGTGAAAAAGAACGTCAATTTCTAATTTTTTGTGTCGATGCCAGGAGTACAGCGAAACAACACAGTAATAGGTGTAAGACAATCTCAAATCATTAGATTTAATATCTAAAACAATTGAATATCAGACAACTTGGAAAGCCTATTTTTTTGGATTATGGCTGCACATCCTGTCAAAGCATCATGAATTACCAAGAAATATGCAATATCTCTTCAACTGGGTTACAAAGTGACCGAAACATGACCACACGAGTACAGACTGTTTATCATTGGTCTTGATCCCAAATTACGACTCAATCAAAAACATCAGTAATCTATTAGCCAAGCTCACTTATTTCATTTGCTACATCTTTGAAAAAAATCTAGAACTAGATTTAAGTTGATCCGAAAAAAATATATGTTCCTATATGCTGGCTGCTGCTTTTTCTAAATACCTGTCAAAATATTATAAATTCGACTGTAATCATGTCCATTCTATAGATCATTGTTATTGTTTATAGTAGTCCCATTCTCCTATCAGCTCTGTCTCTCTATTTCTCCAAACTTTCTGGCCATATGTAATACAAAACTCTGTTTAGGGTCCCGATACCAAAGAAAGTTCAGCGAGAGAAGCTCTTTCCACTTGTCTAGAGGTAGCTGCCATTTGGAATCCGAACCCTGATGTCATCACATACCTATGGGGATATTTTTGCAAAAGACTGGTATGTTACTATAGTTGGTCATGCAAAAGTTAAAGTTTTTGTTGCCTTGCTCATATTATAACATTAAATAGAAATTTCGACTTTCGTTAAAGACTAGATCATGCGTCAATCCGGAACATGCATCCCCAGTTTTGCAGATTTTTGCCGACAAGTACAAAATACATAAGCTGACAAGCATTGATTAAGCCACAGATCCACATTATTTATATTCGCACGTATCTTTAAGAATGCACTTTCACGGTCTATTTATTCTAAGGGCATTGGACCTCTATGAAAAAAAAAACATTTCACCATCAAAACTCTTAAGATTCTTTCTGCCAATGTGAGCGTGCTGTCCAAAATTCTGAAATTATTAAGAATGATAGTACTGGTTGATTGCACTAATGTCCCTGGGTCTCTAAGATGTTTCCCCGCATTGTTTTGACCTAGCAGTTGGGCAGTATTTTAACAGTTGGGTAAACACTTTGCCTATTTTTATTGGAGATTCCCAATGTCATTTTGTAGAAAAAGCGATCGCCTTTAAGTAGACGGGTCGCTTTCATTAGAGTTTGAGAAAGTTCTACAGTAATCTGCTCTTTTAAAATTTTTCAAAGCTTAACGCATTGGCTGACCTTAATACCAAGAGAATTGTGAGGCACAGGACCAATATCTTTACCGGGCTAAACCAATTATTCTTTAAACCAACAAATAAATCACATCGACTTTAAATCTAATCGTTATTATAACTGCTTAGCTCTATCAATAAACCTCCCTGTAATGTAGCACCATGCAGTATTTATATGATATTGTGATATCACTTTCTTTTTATCCAGAATTCAAGCTTTTCTCTTGGCAATCAGGGGATCTTAAGCACGGCTGTCCCTAAGTATGTGTTTTACTTTCAAACCTATGATTGTGGAGTGCTTACCATGCTATTGTGGAAAAAGTCTTGATACACTCGTTTAGTTTCAGCCCGGTATTCAGCCGTTTGCCCGCGATCTTGGCCTTTCAAACTATATAATTGCAATCAGAAGTAACATACAATGCTCTGAAATGCATTTTCTCTATATCAGTATTGTTTTGGGGAGTGAAAGATGCAGTATCAGGGAATACGGCGAAAAGGAAACGGCAAAGGAATGGGCTGTTTTAGGACTTCTTGGCAGGCAATGCATTTGATGACACAAAAGTCTGTGTGGGGTCGAAGAGTTACAGAAAAAACTCACGGGAAGAACCACCTTTTTGTAGTTTACCAGTCGTAAAGGCGATATTATTGCTACTTTAGAATTCTACCTAACAATTTGTTCACCTTTGCTTAATCAAACTCTGATTGTGCCAGTATAGGCTGTCTTGCGAAGCGTTATTTGGCACATCGAATAATACCTTCTTTTGCCACCCCTTATCAGATACTTTCAAACTTTCCTGCTTTCACCTGTGATTTTGATATCATGAATGCGCCAAAGTCATTGAAAATTAAAACCGATTTAATTTACAGCCTGGTTTTAGAGACCACTGGTTTTAGAGATTTTCACTGTGATAAGCGAACGAGGATGGAAAGTTTCACCAGAACAATTTTTGTGGTTTTCAAACTTCATGCCCTTTTAGACGTGCAATGAAGTTTGTAGTAATTTCCAAAATGAGGTCATAGATTGAATTGGTGTTTTCAGTCAAGATCATATGGCGGCATAGCAACCCACTGTTGTCTTATTGAATGCATAGGCGCAGACCTCTATATTTTCCGGAGGGGGGGGGGGGGGGGAAAAAAAACTAATGGCAATGGATACTGCCGAAGGTAGAGGGTTCTAAGACTATTTTCTTGTACATTCTTCATTATCGTTGTTATGTTATTTTGATTATATTTCTTGTGATGATTTTTATGCCTGAAACCAAGAATATGACAAATTGGTCGAAAAATTGATAGCACACTTACCTATTTCCCAGTTGGGGGCTAAGCCCCTCCAAATCTTGTCAGGAGGGGCTCAAGCCCCGGATCCCCCCGCCCCTGAATCCTGCGCCTATGATTGAATGGTATTCTGGTTCTCGCTATGTTACTCTCAAATTATTTTTTGTCAGCATAATGCCAGAAGCATGAAGATTGCCAATACTCTAGCATTTTTTCGAGTCTGCTTTGTCTGTTTCTAGCTTATCCGCTATGGAATGGTTAGAGAAATTCTGCTTCACTTCTGCCTTGACAGACTCAAAGGACAGGTAAAAACGTAAATTTCTCAGATCTGCAGTTCCATGAGTAATTTTGTAGATCTTCCTCTCTTTGATTAGAATTCGATTCAAATACTTTAACTTATGGATATGTTTAGCATAGCTCGCAAGTGTTAGTTTAAAATAAGTTTGATCGCTCTAAAACAAAGGTATTGTGTATGGTTCCTGGATCGATGAAACAGAGATTTAGTAAGATTCAATCTAATGCAATCCTAATGCAACAGAAATATATAATATACAAAAAAGCACATTTTATCTGAATAAATGAAAAATTCAACTTCAGTACATTGTATGCATATCTGATATCACACTGTTGACTTTTTGTAGCTCGAAAATATCTTGAAGATACAAAAAGAATATTTCAACCGCCAAAATATCAAAATTTAGACTTAAACTTGACTATTTAGAACCCAAAATGAGAGTAAGGAATTTTCTATAGTGTCCCCAAACCCAAAATGAGAGTTAGCAGCTCAATTATCAGAGAAAGGAAAGTTCTGATGCAAATGCTCTATGCTTCGTATTTCCTTCTATAGATGTTCGCGATATAATACAGTGCACTCTTCTGTACTTTAGAGTGTTTTTTTGTTTCAGGCCACATCAGTCAAACAGTTACGAGATGTTCCTTCAAATTATCGCCGTCTCCTTCTTGAGAGCAGCCACAAGAAGCGAACAAGGCCAACTATGGAGTCAATTAAAGGGAAGGTATGAAACATTTTACTTCGGATATACGTCTTTTAATCATCTGACTGCTTTATCGGTTTGTTTTCCTTCATGGGACAAACCAGTTTTCGTAAAGAAAAGTCTGATATAACAGCTCCTTCTAAAAAGGGGGCTGCCAAAATAGCGAGGGTGCCGTCATTTCCCATTGCAGATACTGCTATTGAAGTGAAAGATTTCCTTGGTGTTGCAACCCTAGCTTCGACCAAGCTTCTGGTTGCCCTGAACGAGTTAAAGAAATCTTGGTTTTCTTTTTAATTACTTAAAGCAGAAGAATCGAAACTGCGGTAGAAGGGAGACAGTAAATTTATCATTTGTAAATTTTATCATTGTTTGATACAACGTAGCAGTATATGATTTATAATAAAAGCTGCCCAAAACTGAGTCACAACCACCCACTTTACTAAAAAACATACAGCTTTTATTCCCTTTTCCCCTTCTCGTTCATCACGCTACATGTTAGAAACATCGCGTTACAATTTACGACACCAATCTACCGGCTGCTCTTCATAAAGTGGACCTTTCAAGTAACTTCAAGAAGCACAATATTTCTCTGCTGAGTCGGCAAAATACTCTGTTATGTATACTTGGATCAGACCTTTAAGAAGACTGGGAAAAGGGGGTATGTAGAGAAAAAGAGAGAAAGGTGGTTGAAAGGAGAGAAAGGGAGACAAAAGGGAGAGAAAGGGAGAGAAAGGGAGAGAAAGGGAGAGAAAGGGAGAGAAAGGGAGAGAAAGGGAGAGAAAGGGAGAGAAAGGGAGAGAAAGGGAGTTGAAAGGGAGTTGAAAGGAGAGGAAGGAGGAGGTAGGGAGGAAAGAGGGAGGAAAGGAGAAGTAGGAAGAGAAAGGAAGAGAAAGGAAGAGAAAGGAAGAGAAAGGAAGAGAAAGGAAGAGAAAGGAAGAGAAAGGGAGAGGAAGGGAGAGGAAGGGCGAGGAAGGGCGAGGAAGGGTGAAGAGGAGGTTTGATGTTTCTATTTTCATGCACTGAACTTCTGATGAAATAAACATTGAAATAGTTAACAGTATAAAATACTTGTTTTTGGCAAGACCTAATAACTAATTGTGGACATGTGTCGTCTATATGCATAACATTGCTATGTGTTGTAGACGTATAAACATCCGCGCTATCTTCCAATCCGCGTTATTTTGCTCTACTTTACAAAGCATCAGGCTCCTGCCCTATCTGTGTCTTAGCTTTGGCTGAATACCCCCTTCGTTACCCATTATTATCACTTGGAATATGATCATATGAAACCAAAGCTATAATTACACACATCGTCACCAATACCAACACCATGGACAGAAAGGAGCAGCAGACAATTTTTTCACTTTTTCTGAGAAGACTACGCCACGAAACCTTGTCTTGTATTTCGCTTTCAATGTCTTCCTCGTCCATCTTTTCACCTGTTCTGTTCAGTTCCCCGTTGCATTTTATGCTCAATGTGTTTACATCCAAAATAAGCTGGTCTGCCTTGGGTTCACCAAAATGAGCCTCTGTGATGACCTTGTCGCTAGTCCTATCAGCGCACGCAGACTGCTGCAGACACGAAACTTGTACGCGATCACCAATATCCACCCTGTTAATTATATCTTGGTTGCAGTTTGTACTGTGAGGTACAGCCTCGATTCCGTCTGACCCGGCACTCGTTCGTGCTTCACCAATCGCGTGTAAGTATCCGTTTTCGTAGCTAGATCTTGCAAAATCACTTTCGGATTCACTAGTCAAAATCTTTTCTCCATTAGAAGCATTTTTGTGCCGGTCTTCGGATCCTCTGCTTCCAAAAGATTCTTGACATGAATCTCTGCTTCGATACGACACTACTGCAACATCTCTTAACCAAAGAGCAACCCGGTGGATTCTCTGTACACTTTCATTTCCGAGCATTTCACCCATATTTCAAATCCGTTTCATAAAAATGCCAATTCCGCTAGCACACCTCTTAATTCAAGAATCGTGATCAGTCTCTAGTTGCTAAATGTTATAATAACTCGCTAGAAATTTTCAACATTCAAGTGTCTTCATTTCGTGACAATATTTACAACTTGTATTTCAAAATCGCGGTTCTTTTTACTTTCCTTATGACGAATGTGTTTCATGTGCCTCGTCTCTAGCGAGAGCAATAACGTTCTTTATTACTTCCGAAATTATCTTTTGACCAAAGGCGTTGCTAGCAAGTGTCAATGCATGTAGTTGTTACGTAGTTTTATGACCAAGTCGGCTGCATTTTCCACGAGGCTCGAACACAATGTGGTTGCGTTTTGCAAACTTTGTAATCGCGTTATTGGTAGAACCTCCATAGGCCAGTATGTTAAGCGCTATCGGCAGTCATATCCTTTCTCTTGTGTATATGTACACACAGCAACCTGCTAATCGTGAGTTGTTTGTTAACGTTATTCATACAGCGGCGAATTTATGGAAAGGCGTCAAATACTGCGAAAATAGATCGTAAAAGTCGCTTTTCTTGATCAAACTTCAACAAAACTTGAAACGCCAAAATCTCTCGCGGTCAGTGTTGGTCTGCAGGTTTTTATTTACCTTTCATTATTTGGTCATCTCGGATAACCGAAGGGACAGGGTATCAAATTGTAAGAATACCGTGGCAACTTACTGACTAGGATCTCTTTTTCCCCCTTGTGATTATCATAATATTGTTCTCAGAAACAATTTTGTGAGTCCCGTTTTTTCAAGAATAGAAAATAACGTAGTTTCTAACACACGTGGCTAGTTTTTATAGTCAAGATCAAACAGTCTCTACAACTAAGTTTTGTTAAACGAATTTCACTTCTCACATTTCTATCATTTTGTGGTGTTTTGATTAAACATGGGTTTATGTTCAAATATGGCTGTAAAGAGTTCTGCAAGATGTAATGTCCAGAGTCCAGAAAAATATTGCTGTCGAACGGTCATTTTGGTAAAAAAGAATTTTAAAAAATAGTTGAGACAACTTATTTTGCACTTGTTTCTTTGTTGCGCTTTTAAAACATACATTGAATCTGTCGCAGAGTCGAATGGTGGCATAAACAGGCGTAAAATTTTTAGGCCACACCCTTTTATCGCCAGAAAACACATCTGAAAAGAGAATACTGTTCGTGTTCCATGGTTGTGAAATTTTTCAATTTATATTATATCATGTTTCTATATCATATTTCCAACGATTTTATTTTTCGACATTCAAAAAGTAATATTTTTCTTGAGCTGTAAAGTGATTGGTATTCTAGCACAGTTATATCGCATATGATAGCTACCGTCGACCCAAACACATAACCTCGTCTCGTTTTATTGCGTCTGTCACCCCTTATGCTGTAGCCACTCCCTAGCCACGCCCTATTCAAAGAGATTAATTGAAAAATTGGAGGAAAGTTTTGACGGGGAAAAGTTTGACCTAAGGAAGGTTGAGGACTTTTCTAGACACTGGTAATGTCCTGATGGATTTGACAGAATTTGATCTCAGTAAAATTTTCAGGGTGCCTTACTCCCAGACCTCTCTGATTCCGCCTATAGGCGCAGGAGACATCATGTATGGCTGGGAGGGCTGCAGTCAGGGACGCCGGAGCCAATAAAGGGCAAGGGGGCGGAAATTTAGAAAGGGCATCTTCAGTGGCTAGATCGGCGCATATGTGCGCCGTAAGGTTACCCTTCTATCGCTCTTGGCATCGTAGGAAAAGAAATTATTCCATTCTTTTATTTCATTTGAACTTTAATTTTGCGAGAGAGAGAGTAAAAGCATGTGACAATAGCAATAGGTTACAGTAATTAGCAGTAGGAGGCCTACGATAATTTTACAGAAGTAACTGTCAAGGTTATAATGCTTGATTTTTCGTTAATTCTAACATTTGATTTGTAATCATCTATCATTTTTTAGTAAAAAAGAATAAAAGAAGCATAAGAGCCGTTGGGAATTGTGGTTAACGTTAGATCTTTTAATAAAAAATGACTTTATTTAAAATTGGTATTTTCTTGAAAAGGGCACATTTGCCCTCTCTGCCCCTCCTGGTGAAAGGCAAAGAGGCGCTGCCCCCTCATGCCCGCTGCTCCGGCGTAACTGGCTGCAGTCCCCCTGACAAGAAAACATTTATCGCATTTCAGGCTCCATTCAGGAGGCTCTATCTCAAAGAAGCAAGAATATTAATTTAAGGTCCATACTGTACTAAGCCCTCCCCCACCCCCTTTAACGTTTTTCATTCTCTTCGTCCACGATTCCGTTGCTGGCACACTCATCAATCGGTCGTAGAAAGTATTTGTCCAGATAACCACTGCAGAACATGGCTGACAAACAACTCATTCCTTGTTAAAGATTTTTCGGAATTGATTATGTCTCCTATCACAAATTCAAAGGCTATTTTGGCTGCTTTCCTTCATTTCTTAATTTCCTGCTCAGGTGATAAACTTTTTACAAAATACGATAGTTTTTACATAGGAATATTTGATGGGGCTATTTAAACAACGGAACTCAAGGACAAACTTGCCCCCTTCCCCTATTGTATTCTTTGCCTTTCTTAACTCTTAATTCTGTAATAAGATATTTTCTCTTAGGCTATAAAAAAAGATTTAGGCATAATTTCGTAAGACCCTTTACTTTGTAAAACCTAACCACCACTCACAATCAATTTATTCGATTTCCACTCACTTATTTTATAATATTCTTGGAAGTAATTTTATTCTCTCGCACACAAGCTGTTGATAAGTTTCACCCACGCATTACTCAAATAACAAACACAAATTTTGATCATGTGAAGTAGGATTGAGTTCCAAGAAGCCATTTTCATAGTTTATTGTTTTGAAATCTAAAAAATTGATTATAACAAGGTTTATCCGCTTCATTTAGTCTAGGGGTTGAGAATGAAAGTAATAAACATTGAAAACTTGGCTCTCAGATTACGACTTACGAGATTTGCCTGCTTTTTCTCTCTTTTGCCAGTTTGTCAAGGAACGAAAGAATGAAAAATGACCGTCTTTATAACATAAAAACATAAAAGCCTAACTACATAGTTATTGGAGTTGAAAAAAGCTATATGAAAGTAGGGTGCTCTTTTTATGGCTCTTTTAGTTTCGTATGGAAGCAAACTGTTTACATTTCCAGAGGCTGTTCACATCATAGTCGTAGCATTTAAAAAAAGTTCTTTTAAAGAGTGCAAATTACGAAGGACATTTTATTCTGCGTTAATTCTTGGGAGCCTTAAAAATTTTAAATATTGGATTTTTATTTACGCGACAAAAGTATTAGGACGACGAATAACAAAATGGCGTCTCCAAAACTAGCATTCTAACATTGATTGAACAAATCTTGGTGTTTTGGCGGGATTCTAGAAATGGCGTCAGCAAAAATGCAATTCGTAGCAAATTCAATTTATTTCCTATCTTTCTTTGATAGAAAAGTAACAAAATGTCAATGAGGAATGGAAAATATCAATGTTTTGGTTTCAATGCCGAAAGCACAAAAGCGACCAGAAAGAGAATGAAAAGCAATGAAAAATTGGGTCTAGCGTTTCATTTGTTTGCTGAAACTACAAGAAAGTTTGGTTGCAGTAAGGCAGGCTGGTGTTGTGGGCTAAGTCAATCAATGCTGAATGTTTTGTCCAATTTTTTGTGGAAAATACAGAAACAGCTAAAGATTCTTTGCAAAGACCATTTATTTTCAAGCAAGACATTAAACCTTGTTATGTTGCAATTGTGACAAAATTTCTAAAAACAATAACATAATGGTCTTTCAATAACCCCGTCAAAATCAAAGCCTTGATGTAATTGAAAACAACTGGTTTTCATTAAGAAATACATGAAATGGAATCTTCTAAGACCAAAAATAAGCCTTTTTAAAATTTTGTTGAGATTTCCTCCTGTATCCGAAGATATTTCGTTGGAAAATTATTTCAGTAAGTTTCAGTGCAAATGGCGGCTGCCTAGATTCTAGAAGCTCATCTGACTAAAGATGGAATAAAGCAAATGTTACTTGTCTAAAAAGTTTACTTTTTTGCACTCGTTATGTTCCACCGATTTTCTATGTTGTTCTTTAAGCAAAGGATTAACCACATTTGCTTCGAGGCGATCCTCCTAATACTTTTGTGTATGTTGGTACTCTTGTTCTTTTGAGCCGTCGTATTCGTTTTTAGTGTTATTAGACTAATATAAAAAATATTGTCAGGGGAGGAGCTGAAGGGGCATATCCCAACCAATAATGCTCAAAAAGTACTTTCTTAACATACTGAAAACATTTTGCCCTCCCCCCACGTCGGTAATATGGCCGATGGTCCTTGTTCTCATGGTCGACTGAAAGGTAGTCAAAAATAATTCCTTCTTCAAAATTGTACTGATTTTAGATTAACAACACATATTCAAATTTATTCAACATTTGTTGTAGGATAAGCTACTAGAATCCGTCTCGATTATGTTATCTTTATTCCATTACATGCTACCTAAAATTACCCCCAAATGTCTTTGAACACCGCACCACACTGTCTTCCACTTTAAACAATATTGGTCTGCTACTAAAGCGAAGAGAATCACAAAATTACAATTGAACATTTCTAACACATACAATTATTCATTTATTCACAAGAAAACATGGTAACGGTATAGTACTAAAAGCTAACTGCAAGGAATAAAGTTTATATCAATGAATGTAAGCTCGTAAATGTAATTCTAATAACTTTGAAGTATAATATTTACATCGCCTTTGAAACTTCCCTTTGTAAGGGAAGTCTTTTTTAGCTCACATGGCTTTACGCTTTCGAGCATTTTCGTCTCACCAATTTCAGTTTTATTCCTTCAAATTCAATTCTGAGCAACTTTTTTAGTTCAATTTCACAAGCTGTTGCGCAACCGCCGCGCCTTGGCCTAATATCGTACTGCATGAAAATCGCTACGCATGCCGGTTGCGCAAGGGCCTTTAATTTTAAACTATTTTGCAATCAGATATTTGTTTACCATTATTGGCATTCAAATGCTTAGATAAACTTGCACGATTGATGAGCTACTAATTGAAATATCACATAGCAAAGGCTACCACGCCGATCTCAAAATTCGTTTGATACAGATACCTGAACGTTTTGGGTTGTGCCGCTGATTCAGCAACGAGTCTCATGTTATCAAGTTTTAGAAAAAGAAGGGGGTTTCCCCTCCCCCCTCAAAATTTAAAGTGACAGCATTCCCCTGCCTTCTGGCACTGCCCAGCCTTTATTGAAGACTTTTACCTTAACTGCATCTTGTCATAAACAGGCCTATCATTATGGATACGGTAGCTATATAGGCCATAGCTACAACAACAAGGAACGATACGCTGTACTTGAACTTCTGTGTATCAGTGCAAAGACAGGACGCACTACCCTTGTTCGAAGGGTAGTCGACATAATCGTAAGAATTTAACACAACAACCTCAACGTCTTCCTTTTTGCTGTATCTTGACTTTTTCGACCTACGGAAACCTTGTTGCAGAGCCCAGTCGAGCAGCTTTTTTGACTGATCTTGAACGTTTTCACTTTTATCGTCCTCGTTGAAGTGCCTTCCATCATGCACAAACGAACTCTCCCAGTTAATTCCTATGTTTAATGCATTCAATGAATCCTCGTCCTCCATCTTTAAATAATCGCTTTTAAATTCTACGCACATCTTCTCGTAGTTTTCATCGCAATCCCCTCTCTCTGAGCGCTGGTTATTGATTGATTCAACTTGGTTCAGGTATTCAGGGGTCTTTTTTCCCTTTGTCTCCTTACCATGTCGCAACATTTCTAGCAAATGTGAGTCTCGTCCTTGGTAGGCATACGCATATTCGTTGCAATCTTCCCTTCCTTTATTCTTTCCTCTTTTTCCGCATACTTTATCTCCCCCCACAGCCTTATTATTGTTATTATCTTGATTTACATTATGGCATCCTACTGTTGCGCAAGGGTCATCGTCAGCGTCTTGGCTGTTGATAATACCCGTAGGTGTACCAATGCTTGCATTAGGTTCAGAATATCCGCCCATATGTAGGCTCTTCAGCTTGAACAAAGTTATCTCATACGATTTCTGTATGATATCGTCTAAATATACGTCATCAAAATTTGTGTAGAAACACTCGCCGCTCTCTGTGATCAACCTCGTCAACTCGTCGTCCTCAAAAAGGTACGTGTAAACATCCTTTGCGACATGAGCAGCAACTCTTTCTTTGATTTGTGAAATCGGATCAGATTGAGTATTTACATACGCATCATCAGGAGTGCAGTTTTCTTTATCTTGTACTTCAGGCATCATTTTTTGTAATTCACCAATTCTACTGTCAGGCTGCGGCTCTTCATATTCATTGGACTCTTCCATCACGATGTATTTAGAGAAGCAATTTTAAGCGAATATGCTCCGTGATGCACCTATTTCAAAGATTTCTTCGTATAATTCCGATGAGATCTCTACTTACTTCTGACAGCAATCTCTTAAATAAACAACAAGGCGATGAGCCCATGTAATCGACTGTAGCAGATAAGCATGCACTTTACAAATCACGCTTCCGTTTTCGGTTTTCTATGTAACTACTGAACCTCCTTAACCAAAAGGTCATATTCTTTGTCTCATTTACATAGGTTTCCTTTCTTTCCTTTGAGACAGTTGAGACACCTTCCATGAACAAGAATTCTAGGAAATAAGCCGACGATTCAATGGAGATTCCTTTATGGCCCAATGATTTCAACCCAAGGAGATTCCCCCAACCGATAGGCTTCTAAAGTGCTCCAGCATCAACCCTTCTTGCCTTCCACATTTAATGCTTGTTTTGAAACTTTATTCAGTAAAACTCTCCAACTTACATCTTGATATTCAATGAAAAAGTAAATACAGTTATTAAATGAATGCGTATATATAAATAGCTGCACTACTGGGGGTTTCGTTTTAAGTTGCTTTAGCTAACAAGATCAAATATAAAATGCTTTTCGAAGCCATTAAGCGCAGCGAACTCTTCGTATGATTAGGAATATAATATAATTCCAAGCTTATAGCGCCGAATAGCGAAATCATTTTTTGACATATTCAAGATTGTCTCGGGACTTGTAGCTTCCTGTAATTTCTTATTTTTTTGTTCTAATCCAGCACCGCAACTACCTGTTGTCCTAGGACCATGATGATATTTAACCCAAAGGCTTTCCGGTTATTCTCGGCTGATTATTTTTGTAGTCATTATCCACTAAAGTTGTTTGTTTAATGGTTAACTAATTACGAGACCAACACTATGAGGTAGTTGTAGTAACCTAATTGACTATGCGCAGGAGCATTACTTTATGTGACCCATGTTTATATAGAGTTTCAGATTACAGTTTACAGTATTACAGTTATGTGTGTAGGCCTTTTGAAGTTAATATAAAGTTATCGTTCTGTTCTGTTCAACCCATGCGTTGTTCTATCTCCTTCACATCTTAACAGTCGTGAATAAACGAAGGGGTTTAAAAACGAGGGGGTTCAAGCTTTTCTGAAGCGAAAGTATTGTTGAATGTGTTTACATAAAAGTATTCTACGTAAAAGCAAAAAAACTGTTTGCTAATTTTTACAATTTTTGGCGGTACAGAACTTGAAAATGGCTTTGAAAAAAGCAAACATTTTACAACATATTGGTTAAAAGCTTTTTCGCCTGACACTCCTCAGAGCTATTTTTTAAGAAAATGATAAAACAATTTTGGAAGGTTGGAATTTAAAGCCCTGGCAAAATGACTAAACATTTCACTAAACATTTCACTCATTTTTTGTTTAGTGGGAAGTTTAGTGGAAAGTTTATTCGTTTTGCCAACCTGTTTAGTATTGTTCAGTTTAGTGGAAATGTTTAGTCGTTTTGCCAGCAATTCAACATTTGTTGCGCTAAGCGCAGGCGCCGTAACTGTGGAAATCCATCGGTTTTCGTCATTTTTCCAGTCACTACGTGACCCAAAATCTCTAGAATGCCTTCTTGAGGCATCTGCTTCACCTCCTTGTACGCTACTGTGTCTTCTTTGACAGTAAACTTTGGTATCGATGCGCTAAAAAGTCTTTTCTTTTCCCGTCGCTTTATCCAATCCTTATTTTTACCCACTTCTTGTATTTGAAGTCTTTTGTGCCAACATACAACAAAACAAACAGAAAGGAAATTCCTATGCAAGAACCCCAACAACCCCACAGCGTCCTATACAGCTCGCAGTTCAAAAAAGTTGAGTGAAGTTTAATGAAAAGTTTAGTCCCGTTTTCCCACCCTCACTAAACTTCGCTCAACTTCACTGAACAAAACTTGAGTAAAATGTTTAGTGAAATGTTTAGTCGTTTTGCCAGGGCTTTAGGGATAATCATTCGGATTGCCACTGAAGCAAATTGACTGCCATTGCCATACGTGACGAAAACTACGGGCGAAGTTATTAAGGCCATATCTCAGCCAATTCGTAATACCTTTAGCTGCTTCTGCATATTTAGAGGTTTTAATGGTGTTTTCTAGGAAAGGAAATCAGAGTTCAGGTTTCAAATTAGGTTTTTATGACATCGTTTCTTTAAAGGAGCGAAGTTTATGAAAAAAGACCACATTAAAGAGGTTTGATTTGAAGAAACCGGTGCTTAAAGTGGTCAAATTGGCGACATGTTTCGTTATGCTTGTCCGGGTTATTTAGTCAAAATTGAAAAATTCTAAACATATATTTTTGTGACGTCATCATTACAAAAATAGATCTATATTTTCTACCATTTTTGACAAACAACAAAGCTACCTGCGTTCCACGTGTCGTGTAAACAACATTAAAGGGTTTCTTTTTGGTGGAAATTTCGTCATCGGATAGAAGCCATCAGGTAACGAAGCCAAACATGTGTTCGCAGGTGCGTATTGAAAAACCTGGTGTTGTGTACCAGCACTTGTCATCAATCATCATATATTTAGTTTTCTACCAGGTACCCTTTCAATAAAATACGGGGAAAAGAATCGTAAATTTTAAAAAAGGTTGCAGACATTATAGAACCTTATTAAGGGTCTCAAAGTATATTGCCGATAATTTCGTGCTGTGGTATCCTGATGAACATAGAAGCTCCCATAGAAGAATTCGAGTCTCTTTAGCATCTAAGCCAAAATATGCTTAGAACCCGTAGATTATTTAGGTCTATATTCTTCTGTCTACCGAGCGATATAATTGGAGATGGCATAACAAAAAAACACGTTGATTCAGATAATGGTATAAGTAGTTGACTATTTATAATATTCCGCTTTAAAAGCTATTTCTCTGTTATAATCAATTTACAATATATACAAAATATTAATTGTTTAACTATTCCATAAACCAAAAGTCTTCGCATGGACTCTATAAGACATTTTCATAAGAAGGTTGAGCAGTATTCTTAATCTGTTTTCAAAATTGGATAATCATGTGCCTGAATATTCTTATAAACATCATTCCTATTAAAAAGAGTTTTCTCGTGTTGAAAAAGCAAGGTACTTTTTGTAGCTAAATGCAACCAAACACCAAGTTGACAACGAGTTACTGCATTCTTATATTCCAATGAAAGCTGAATCAGTTCTAAAATAAACATCTCAAAATATTAACGAAGTCGTTTTGTTAAAATTGCACCAATAAAAACTCCTTACATATTCCGTGCAAGCATTTCGGGTCCACTACAGTTGAAACAAAAATTTGCCAGCTTCCTCTTTCATAGCTGTGCTCTTTTCGCGATTCTGGAAGTCAACTACAGAATTGATAAAGAAAGTCGTTCATGTCTGCTTTCGTTTTGCAACTTCAACATACTGTTCTTGGATGTGGTTTTCAAATTTTTATGAGAAAATGGTTTACAATAATCATAAAATGTTTTTTCTCCAAATTGTGCCAAATTATAAGAATATCTGCAGGTTTAATAGCAAAGTTTCTTATAAATTTGCTGTATAGTGCGAGTGGCATTGTTTCTTCAATACGGATCGATTTTGATTATCACACAGTCATATTAAATCTGCGTATGCTGGAATTGTCGCACATGCTTTCGAGCACTTGTCTTGGATTTTCTCACAAAACCACACAAACTCGACTCATTCTAATTTAACCGCATGAATATTGACCTACTTAATCTGCATTATTTACAATCTTAATTCTTCATCTCGTTCGAAAGGAGCTTGTCACTACCCCCTGTTTACATGGTGTTCCTTTGCTTATATATGTGGTTACATTAAAAGGGTGACGGATCGTTGTTGCAATCAGAGTAAAGCAACAAGGATACAAGCAAACCCTATGGCTAATAAGCAACTTGCAGCGACATAAATAAGACACTGGCAAGGAAAGGAAAAAAATTCTCGCACAGGCCTTGTTCTTCCATGCTTACAAACACCGTTTGAAGTTGGAGCGTATTTTCCATTCTGTCCTGAAATTAATGCTGTACCATTTTCCTCTCTGCTACTCTGTATCCCATTGTTAAAATCATTGTTATTTTGATTCGTCTTGTTTTGTTTGGGATAAAAATTACCCTCAAAAGTTACCTTTGCAAATTTTATATCTGGCCCGCTATTCTCCCGGTTGGACTTTCCATTTATCGGTGGCAACTCCAGTTTAGTCGACCCAGCAGAAGGTCCCTCAACACTTGAATTTCTGTTTGACGAGCCCATTGTAAGTTCGACTGTATGGAATCTGTCCAATCTATTGTCCTCTTCGTCTTTTGGTAAAGTTTTCTGTATTGTGTCATAATCCTCATTATGACATGCTGCATTAGGTAACATGTAAAGAGAACCTTGTTTTTGCTCTACATTCTGGTAAGCTTGTTCTGTTTCGTCGACAAATCCGCCATTCGTCTTTGCAAGGCCTATATCGATGCTTCTTGTCGAAGCTGCACTGCTGGCCGCACTTCGCTGGTGAAGACCAGCGATTTCAGGCCGGTCTTTTTCCGTTATTTTTTCTTCAGAGTTCATAGCCCTTGTTGTTACACGTCAGCTTATTACTGTTTGCGTTTCTGTGCTTTTTCATGTTAGTTAGGCTAAAAGACTAAATTTTTTCCCGGAAACAAAATGAGGCAGGTTTTTTGTTTTGTTTGCAATCAGATCCACAGGGATCAAAGAATTTCTACCTGTCTTGCGACACCGAATCAGATCGTTGCATTTCTATCACATGACATATTTCAACCAAAGCGGAAAAACTGGGCTTCCTCTTTAAACAGGTTTATTTTCGTTAGGTTGAACGCAGCAGGTTGAAAACCAAGAAATAACTTTTCCTTTTGAGAAGTATATTTTTATTTATCGAGGTCACTTTCGTTCTCTAAGATTTCAATTTACATAAACATTTTGTTTTGTCCTATTTGATCGACAGGAGCTTCCCGAAAAGTTTCCAGTTCCAGTGAACTTTGCTTGGTAATATAAATTTTACTAAATTTTAGTTCTAGTTAAAGAGAATGAACAGATATAAAAATTGGCTAACCTACAGATCTATTGATAGGCAACCAAACACGATAGAATTCTCTTCTGTTGCCAAATATTCCATACAATGTATCACGGTTATGAATCTGGTTCAATCGAATTTAATCAGCTTCCTATGGGTAACGATTAGAATGGTAGCGCAGTATAATTTTTTCCGAGAAACCGTTTGAACTGCTACTAAGCATTCGAAACGACGTTGCATTGATTGCTTTACTCAACTGATTCGAAAGAGATTTTCAGAAGTGAACCAAATTCCTCAAAAATCAGCCCATATCACTTTCGTACATCTTTATTCTCTTCTAGACATCACTTACAATTTAGACAGGGAATTTACTGTAACAATCTAGCAAACTGGGTAACCGAAATTTTTGAAGTGGATATGACTTCTATGATGGTTGGTCGTCAATTTAAGCCTTGGGCACATTCTCGAAAATTTGTTTTTGTCACGTGATCGATGACGTAATTACACCCCGGTCAGTAAAATATTAATGACAACATTTTTTAAATCTGAGTATACCATTCAAAAGAACATGCAAAACTGAGTCAAAAATTATAAAACACTTATATTGTTTGACTTATTGTTTCGAAATTATAGATGTTTGAACTTTCTATGACGTCATCAAAATGGCCGCCACTGGATTTTGTAAAGAGCATTTTTTCATCGTATGCACTCTACTAAAACAATTCTTAGCAACCAAATTGTTTTGTAAACATACAAGTTAGGTTTCAGTTATGCCGAGATTAGCTGCTCTCTAAGTTACCATCCGCTAACATCATAGCTTACGAACTTAAGGCAACCATTCATCCATTGAGTCCCCACTGGACGAAAAGTCTGAAATTTCCCATTCACTTTCGTGTTCATCGATTATTGAAGTGTCCGAGCCATCAATGATTTCTTTTCTTGTCATTTCGCTATCCCCATCATAATCGATATATGTACTGGGCAATGCATCTCTTTGGTGGTGTTTTCTCTTCTTTGAAGTGTGTTTTTGGCCTTTAATTTCATCATCACTCATCTCCGCATCGCCATCGTTGTCATAGTTGAGATTCTTGGCTGTTTTCTTTCTGCTTGTTAAAAGTGAAGGAGGCAACTGCTTGCCTTTAAACCAGATCGGAACTACAACCTGCTTTTCCTCGTCCCATTTCCAGCCGTGATTTTCAAAGCTAACTGTCTCAATGTTAACGTCACAACAGCGGACCCAGTGGAACACTTGGTAATTTGCTCGTCTGATGGCTTGCTCAACTGAATCTGGATCAGGAGGAATTGACGATGAAGACTTTGATTTCATTTCTTCATATAGTCGGATTCTCGTTTCTACATTTGACTCGCCTACCTTGCCACTGTAAACAACTGTCCTGATGAACTCTTTTACGTTGTCGATTTTTTCAGACTCGAGTCTTTGATCCTGACCGAAAGATTCTAGCATCTGGCATTTCGACGGAGAACTTAACAACTTTTTGATGATTTTAACTTTTCCAGCCTTGTAGAAATAGGAAGTGGTGTCACATCCTGATATTGCATGTATTGCTGGAAGTGCTTGACAAAGATCATATCCTAAAAATTGGCAAATTACTCCTATGTCAGCATATTTATCATGGTCGTACTTGAAAAGCCACGTTTTACAAACAGAAAGCTTTGAATATGCCCATATAAGAAGGATCAGGACATCGGTATCTTTGGAGACAATAACTACGTCTGCTACTTCCAATGACGCATGCAAAACCAAGCGGGTGTCCGCTTTTTCATGATTACAACGGTAAATCAGCTCACATCCATTTCTCTCCACTCTGTACGTGTTGTTACCTTCTGTGACGATGAATGGCTGCTTTATCGTACCTCTAGCTTCTTCACTCATCATATGTTGTGCAATAAGCTTTATCAACTCTTCCTTATTTCCCTGATTCTGCAAAAATTCGTTCCACTTGATTCCTTTTGGCATATGCTGATCAAAACCTTCCAATTTGGTTCGCGTACCAGTTTCCCCACGATCTCTCCTTGTTCCTTGTTTCGCACTCTGCTCTCGGTATGTGTCGTTAATCATCCCAACCAAGCACGGCAACGATTCTACTGGTGGCTCCATAAACTGCAAAAGGGCAATCATCCACTCTCTGTATGTCTTCCTTGACTTGAGTGATCTCACTGCTGCCATCCCATCAATAAACCATGCAGCATTTTTAGGTATGTTAGTTGTAGGACTCTTCGACTGTGCAATGAGGAAATTTCTCAATGAGGACTTGTTTGATTGTCGCAGTGTGCCTTCAGGAGTTGCGATGGACAAGGGAAACGTAGTGATTGGAAAACAAAATGCTTCTTCCAGACTAACAGCTTTAGAGACTAGGAGTCCAAAAGCTTGACAATCTTCTTTTAGGACGGATGCTGCCTTGATGGTTTTCTTCTTTGCCAATGTGCCTGTGTTTAACTTTATTCTCTTTATCGGGGCAAAGAAACTCTTGGATCCTTCAATAAGCCTTTCTGAAACAAAAGTAGAAAAAGCTTCATTTCCTATTTCTGATGCATTCAACATATCCTTGACCACAGCAGGATCTACCTCTGTTCCAGTTGATAAGCATTTTGGATGATCCGATGAAAATGGATTTACACCATATCCTCTCAAGGTCTTCTTCAAATTTGACACGTGCTCAGCATGCAGTTTCTTGCCACTGTTCGTAGACTTATGTTTTGACGAAGTCTTGATATTCAGCTGTTTTCTCAATGCAATCCTTAGCATGCTGTGGATGTGTATTGTCTGCACCCAGCTGTTTGCTGCCTCGATATTCGTGCTAAAACCGGAACGAAATGGGCCAGCAGTTCCCTTTGTTTCCTTGTTGAAAAGTTCTGTTATAAGGTCCCCATGTATCGTGGAGAAAGAATCACCAGTGATGCTGCCACCATGACCTCGAGACTTTAAATCTGTTTCATTAGTTTGTTGGCTGTGACTTTGGTATCACATCTTCTTAGTCCTCCTTCATTATAAGGGTAGTGATCGCTTTTGCGTTTTGCATTGCATATGAAGCAGATATGCTTTGATGACAATGACGGAGTTTGGGATCTCAAAGATTGCTTTTTAGGTGATTTGGGTGAGGTCTCATCAAAATCATTACCCAGTTCGTGTTCGTATGATGCTTCATGATCCTTTGTTCCATAATTCTTCAAATAACGTTCACTGTTATTCCTAAAATGTACTCTGCATGTTGAATGTACATAGATCTCAACGCTTTCCTGTCTACGATCTTGAATCCTAGCAAAAACTTCTGTGAAATTATGCTTCTCCTCGTGAACTGGAATATTTATTCGTGACCATTCTGCGGCCAATGCTATAAATCTCTCGTACCCCTTCTCCCCAATTCTTTGGGGCTTGTCGCCTTTCTTAATTTCTTTGCAACAAATAAAACAGCAACGGTCCGGCTGAATCACTTTTGAAGACAGGAAAGCTTTCGATTGAGCCATAGTATATCATACTTGTAACTACATTTTCGCAACCTGTTCTGAATCAAACTATCAAACTAAGGGGAAAAAGCTGTTTAATACGTTCTGACTGTTTACTTAATGGTCAATGGGCACACGAAACAAATTTTCTTTTTTAATGAGAAATTTTTGAGCGAATTAATGAAATTTTCAAGTATTCTTGGCATTTAATCTACAATTCGAAGTGTGTTATGATTGATAAAAAAGCAACTTGAAGAAAGGTAACGTGACCTCAACAGCTGTTTCTAAATTAGTTATTTCGCACTTTTCTATCAATAATATTTATGTTCAATAGATTTAGTTGCTGTAGAATTGATAACTTCCATCAAAAAACTTATTTTTAACCTCTGATGGTCATTTAACATAGCGCACACGATGAAAAATTGCTCTTTACAAAATCCAGTGGCGGCCATTTTGATGACGTCATAGAAAGTTCAAACATCTATAATTTCGAAACAATAAGTCAAACAATATAAGTGTTTTATAATTTTTGACTCAGTTTTGCATGTTCTTTTGAATGGTATACACAGATTTAAAAAATGTTGTCATAAATATTTTACTGACCGGGGAGTATTTACGTCATCGATCACGTGACAACAACAAATTTTCGAGAATGTGCCCAAGGCTTAAATTGACGACCAACCATCATAGAAGTCGAATCCACTTCAAAAATTTCGGTTACCCAGTTTGCTAGATTGTTACAGTAAATTCCCTGTCTAATTGCTACGCGACTCTACTTCTCTGACATTCTACCTACACTTAACCACAGAATAGAGATTACTCTCTATTTTGTGACGTAACGCGACTCTATTCCAACTCAGTGGTGGCGCTAAAAATTCTCCGAAAATTTACAAAAAGGACACAGAATTAATTGGGGGGGTCTCGCACCCCGTACACCCCCGCTAGATCCGCCTCTGTCCACGAGAATCGTAAATTTACTGTTTCTTTTTCTATGTACATTCTTATAACTATTAATTTACCCCATAAACATGTGCGAGCACGTCTCCAGCACGTACGAAGTTGAACACAAAGTATCCATTTCAATTTTTACACTTTGACTTTGCGAAAGTACAGTTTAGATCTCATATTTTTTAAACTTTCATTGATTTTAGCACAACTATAATGTAGTGAACTCAAATAGCTTTTTAGATACGCCTTTTTTACAGCAAACCTAAAGGGGCCCAGTTAGTGTCTTGGTTTTTTTCTCAATTAGGAAAAGCATTATTTTAGGACGTTGCATCATTTAGACAGGCTACTAGGAAGTAACTGAGACGATGACATGGTCTGTTGCCTAATTTTAAAATATAATTCAATAATTAATGATAACAATGTAATTTGATAAATAGAAACAATGCATTCATAAAAACACCGATTGAAAATTTTGACAAATGCACAATTGTAAAGAATAATCGAACTTTCTCAGCATACCCACAGAATGCACCATCTCGAATTCAGAGGTGGCGCCAGAAATATTCCGACAGAGGGGTTGAAGCTTCCGACCGGGGGGCTAAAATGACTCAAATAAGCAGTTCTCGTACGTTATTTTGTCAAATTTGCTCCAACAATAACCTAAAATTTCCTCCGATAAAACTATTGTCTCATTGCCAGAAGGGAAGTTTGCACAGCTTTTAGCAAAAACAATCGACCCTTTGTGGCATCGTGTAATTTAAGATACGGATATAGCGGCAATAAAGTTTTGATTGGTAAAATTTAGAATGTTCTGTTCTACTTTTGTCTATTTTGTCATTGTTTTACTTCGCATATCAGGGCCCTGTGGTCCTACCTTTAAGCTTTTATTAGAATTACCTTCGCGTGCATTCTTTATACTGAAAGCCCAAGCAAGATCCTGAAGGCATCTAGGTATTATCACTTTTAATGGTTTCCACTCCTTAGCCCTGCTAAGCCCTGCTAAGCCCTGCTAAGCCCTGCTAAGCCCTGCTAAGGATCATACATCTGGATATGTGGCCAAAAGCTTACCCAACTAAGAATAACATCTTTTGGCTGAAAATAAGGTCGCCTTCCGAATATGAACGGCAGGGGTAACGGATAACGGAATCAAGGGAAGCACGTCCCTTTAAGAAAAGTGCAAGCTGTTTCAGTGGTGGCCTCTCTAGAACTGATCTGTAGATCTATGCAGGGCCCTGAGACAAATACAGAGCAGAGTTATGATTCTAAAAGCAGACAGAAAAATTCCATGTATAACGAAGAGAAATCCTTTCTATTGACTCTAAAGGACCTCACTATGAAGCAGTGCTCGGCACTTCTGCACCGATGCACCTTTGTTACTAACTCTAGGGGTTAAACTTTTCACGTCGTGACTACAAATAGTTAAACACTTAATAACGGTTTCAATTTCAAAACAGCAATTTCAAAGTATAAATAAAGAACAAAAAGCTGCAACAGCGTCATACTAGTACCAGTATTCTTCGTACACAGCGACAGGATACCTACCTTTCTTAAACAAACGATTATAAGACTGTGTTAGTAACTGCTGAAGAAGAGCGAATAGCACAGAAGGAACATAAAGAGAGAAAATTATGAATCAGGGTGTTTATATTCACAGATGATTTCAACAACGTCGATTTCTTCTGGTTCAATGAAATGTAGACTTCTCAGGTCACAAAAATCCAGTTTTGAATCTGATTAATTTTTTAACAGTTGAGCACTGTGTTATCATAAACCACTTTCTCTTCAAAAAATGTGTAATTAAAATATATTTTAGAACTGTCTCACTGTAATAGTAAAGTTTCTGATCGTTTACAACCTTAACTGGTATGTTTCTTATAAAAAATTCATGTGTGCAAAAATGAGTAACGCAATTGTCTGGAAGACTCAAATGTCATTTATTATTAGAGAATACACCTATTCAACTTACGGTCTCATTTTGAAAAATTCTTCTAATTCTTTTGTACAAAAGTTTTCACCTCAGATTTGGGATGAGAGCAAGGATTTTAGTTGGAAGTTTTTATTATGGTGTTGCTCATGATAATGATTTTATGACGACATTAAGATAAAAATTTTATAAGGGATTTGACCGTGATTGGAGACTAGGGGGAGGGGTCACCCGAAATGCTATTTGCGGTCGGTCAAGTCCCTTACAAACTTCATTTCTCCGTAAAATCTAAGTTACAGACACAAACAATATGAAAAGTTGTATTCAGCTTAAAATTACGGTGATAAAGCCAAATCTGAGCTTTAAAAAGTCGAATAATAAAGTTTGACGAAATTTTCAAAACGAGGCCGTAAGTCGAATTGGTGTATGGCTGGGATATATCCATCGGGGTGGATAATAATGTGGCATGGGTTTGCTTGGGTTAATGACTAATACTCAATACATTTTTCTAATTCAATTATAAGGAAATATGGAATGCGTGTGTTAAGGCTTTAGGGTCCTTTTGTCTTTCCAAAAAGACTAGAGACTCCATCAAAGAAAAAGATGAGTTTTCATGAAAATGTATAAAACAGTTCCCAAGCGTCAAAAGAAACTAGAATTGTTCGCCAAGACCCTCTATATTTGCGAGATTGATCTCTGGCAGGGAAGATGACAATGACCATTGACGTACCTGGAATTTTAATGGGGCGTGGATGTTGATGACATAGGTGGGTGCTATGAAACACTAGAAATGTTAAACGGGGTAGGGAGCAGTATTGAAAAATCTCTACCAGGATTCGATGGCAAGGGCCTGGAACTATCGATGCTAATCAGGGGTAGATGGGGAAAGGGGTGGGGGTTGTTATCAAAAAGCGAAAATGGTTGCCTTCTACCATTTGTAAATGGGGTTAGCCTTTTGAGCTTCCCAGGACTATACCCCTTTCTATGATACACGAGTATTTGGGTTTTTTCATAATGCTCAGAGAAAATTACCGAGAGAGCAATATGACTAGCGTATTCTGACCATTCATTATTCTATAATGATCTAATCGCCTTTTCGAAGGAAACTACTATCTGTATTTAATCAATTAGAATCCTTCAACACATGAAGTTTATAAAGCTTCAAAAATCTATATCCTAATTTATGAAGGACTATATATCGTCAAAACTAAAGAGTTTTAATCTTCGTATTCAAAATCCCTTTTCGATACCAAGGTTTCAAAAAACCGGTCAAATTCTGAGAACTATTTTTCTCTGTAAATCTTGAATTTTATCTAAAATTTTAATTGCAACAA